TATAATGGAGTAGAAATATGTCTTGACACCTGACATAAAAGCAGTCCCAGGGGAGCTGATAACATTAGATTTGTTGACACAAGCCTTACCCTTTCTCCTGGAACAACTGATAATTGCTTAAGATAGAAGATTAGCGCTTTCACCTCATTTGGGTTTCTATCGACAGTACTCCATATTCTCGAAAATAAATAAATTTAAATGACTGGATCTTGACTGTTAAATGTAGACTTATTTCTGAATACGGTATTAATAGATAATGGTGGACCGCATCTGCTATGTTAACCAGCTCCACCACCTCATCCCGTTGCATAGACCTGGGCTTTTAGTAGAACTGAAGAGGTGATCTACACCACAGAGCCTCCCCCGACCCCAACACTTGAGTGCTGTTTAAAAAGTGAGGTGTGGTGACAGACAGAGTCACGTGGCTCTCTATGAGTTCAGGGCCAGCCTGGATGACATAATGAGACCCAGGCTGCCAGAGCTGTAATGACACTTGGGACTAGAACTTTTAATGTGTTGGGTGATTTACCTACATGGCTATCTCTGCACCACACATGTTCAGTGCCCTTGGAGGCCAGAATAGAATGATGGATCCCTAGGGACTGAAGCTACAGGGAACCGTCAGTCCTCCAGATGGGTAACTCTGGTTCCGAGTGGCCCAAAGCCCCCCTCTGGCTTCTGAGGATACCATACATACATGGTACACATACATACATACATACATACATACATACATACATACATACAGGTACACATAGAATAAAAACAAACCTAGGAAAAGAAGGGACGAGACAGAAAGGATTACTATTGCTGAGCTCTCTCCTCCTCAGAAAATCCTGCCCAGGAATGGGCCCACCCACAGTTACACTTCATCCCCCATGTAATTGACAGACCCTGCAGATGTGCCCAGAGACTAGTCTCCAGATGATTCTAGACTATCACGATGACAGCACTGGCCATCACAGCACCCTCTGGTTTTCACCTGGGTAAGCCTGGGTTTGAGGTCAGCCTAGGTGCTTTGCTGTGTGTGTCCAAAGGCTTCCCGGTGGCTTAACAGTGCTTAGCACCGGGGACTCCCTGGACCCAAAACCTCAAGTGTTAATCTTCCTGGTTTTCCATGATGCTACAGCTTTTAGTTGCTGCCTAGAACTTTACAAATTCGTCACCTAATGTTCTTGGGAGTCAAAAGTTTAAAAACACTTGCTGCCCAGAGTTCCTCCTTTTCTGAATTCTTCAGGTCTGCCTTCCTAGGAAGTGAAATAGGTTTGGGTGGTAGCAATCCCTGACAGTCACTGTGGCTGTCCGGTGTCCTGGCCCAGCAGCTTCACTAGTGACAGGTTCCTGTGAGGAAGACTAAGAGACCAGAAAATAAAGTTAGGGAACTTTGGCCAGTATCAGGCTGGAAAGATGGCTCCGAGGTTAAGAGCACTGGCTGCTCTTCCAGGGGACCCGGGTTCAATTCCCAGCACCTACACTGCAGCTCACAGCTATGTGTAATGCCAGGATCCAACACCCTCACATAGACATACATGCAGGCAAAGCACCAGTGCACATGGAAATACTAAACTGTACGTGTGTATAGTGAGTTTGTAGGAGGAAAATGGACCGGTCAACAGAAAACAACCACAAAACAGGATGATGCCAGCAGGAAGCTAAGCAAGCTGAATTGCCCAGAGAACCCAGGCCGTCTCAAGTGCACCATAGACCAGGCACAGAGCACTCTTGGGACTGATAACTCCAGTCTCTTCAAGGGGGAAAAGTAGGTACCTACAAACTGAAACCTTAATCCTTCAAGGCCCCAACCCCAGCCCAGACCTTGCCAGCTTTGACCCTAGGGAAGGACACAGAGCTCCAAGCAGTGCTTTGTCCTTTCATCCGGGACTAAAAAGCCTTGGATCTGTCTGCCTCCTACAGGTTGGTTGGTGTTTTGTTTTGTTTTGTTTTTGAGAAAGAATTGACTCCAGGAAGTTGTCCTCTGTCCACACATGCTCTCGTATGTAGGTGCTTACACACATGAGTAAATGTAAAGTTAATATATATGAGAATTTAGCTGTCCACACTTTGTGAATTTTTCTTAATTTTTCTTTTGTATTTTATGTGTTTGGGTGTTTTGCCTGTGTATGTCTGTACCACATGCAGTGGCAGATCCCCTGGAACCACATGGGTACTGAGGAAAAAATCTGGGTCCTCTGGAAGAGCTTGTAGTTTTGCCGAGCCATCTGTCCAGCCCCAGCCTACTGAAGATTTTGTTTTGTTATTTTCAAGACAGGATTTCTCTGTGAATCCCTGGCTGTCCTGGATCTCTGTAAACCAGGCTGGCCTCGAACGCAGAGATCTGCCTAGCTCTGCTCCTGAGTGCTGGGTTTAAAGGCTTTGCCACTACCACATGCAGTTTACTGAATTTTAAAAACACTCTCGTGGTTTATAATGGTAAAAATATGACAAATTCTGTTTTCAGTTTGTTTTTTTTTTTTTTAAGTTTATTTTTATTACATATAATGTTCTGTCTGCATATACACATACCTGCCAGAAGAGGGCACCAGGCCTCATTATAGATGGTTATGAGCAGCCATGTGGTTGCTGGGAATTGCAGAACCCCAGTGTTCATAACCTCTGAACCATCTCTCCAGCCCTGTTTTCAGTTTCTTAAACTAGTTTTTTATAAACCATTTTTTTGATGGTTGCAAAATCCTAGATTCTAGTGTGGTTTGGTTTACTTTTGCTTTAACCAGTTAAATTTTGGTTGCCAGGCAGTGGTGGTGCACACTTTTAATTCCAGCACTTCGGAGGCAAAGGCAGGAGGATCCCTGAGTTCAAGGCCAGTCTACAGAGCAAGTTCCAGGACAGCCACTGCTACAGAGAAACCCTGTCTCAAATTGTAGGACACTCAGTGGGCTCCTTCTCCAGCACCCTGTCTACCTGCACAACACCACATCACAGCATGATAATGGACAAACTTCTAAAAATGTCAGCCACCCCAGCTAAATGTTTTTCCAAGCACCCACAACTCACAGCTCCAGAGAATCCAATGCCCACCTCTGGCACTCATGCAAAACCCTACATGTACATACAGTAATTTAATCTTGAAGGACTGCTTGCTACTGGTTAATAGACATTTTATATTTAGTTGCTATGTGTTTATCTAAATGACTTGTAGTCTTTAGCTGCTGACAATAGCCTTTAGCGTGTGTTACTACCTAGCCCTGTAGAAATGGGGTAGGAGGTTGTTGTCCAGAACCACAGCTTGCAAATTCTGGTTGGACACCGATGACCTGCCAACACTTTAATAAAATCTTACATTTAAATCTGTAATGGAATGGGCGTGGTGGCACAGGCCTTTAGTCCTACCTCTTGAAAGGCAAAAGCATGGGGATCTCTGTGAATTTGAGGCCAACCTGGTTTACATGAGTTGCAGGACAGATAGGGCATCATAGTGAAACCCTGTGTAGGGAGAAAGGGCCAGCCAAAGAACCACACTCTGAGCAGAGCCAAAGAAACTCACTTTGGCTCTGCAACTAGAACCAAAGAAATGCACCCTGACCCTGAAAACAGTGCCAGAGAAACACACTTTGTCCCTGGAATCAGAGCCGGTGAAAGAAATACACCCTGGTCCTAAAATTAGAGCCAAAGGGCTAAAAGGACCCGTGAAAGAAACTCACTTTGGCCCTGAAACCAGAGCCAAATCTGACCCTGAACCTGAGCAGAACACCAACAAATCCCTGAGCACAAGGTCTAGCCAATCTGAGCTCAAGGATTGAAATCTGACCAATCCCCACCCTGGAAATCTCCCTGGAAAAACTCTGCCCCTAAGAAGCCCTATATCAACCCTGTGCCTGTTCAGCTTGTGGCTGCCCGGCTGTCTTTTTCCACCTTGGCAGAGGCAGCCCCTGCCCTAGATTCTTCCCTCCCAATAAATCTCTTGAATGAGGTTTGGGTGAGACCTTCCTCTGCTGGGATGGAGCGGAGAAGTGACAATTTTCCACCTGAGACAGAGCAAAGTGGAGTTGTTATACTTTGGAGCCTAACTATAACTAATCTTCGCCTGGAAGTTCTCTGCTGGAGTGGAGCAGAGCTTTTGCACTAAGCAAGCGTTTCTCTGGAGCAGGGCTGTGAGCTGCTACACTTACTGTGACTGGTATTCTGTGGCTCCCGAGTGCCAGAATCCCTGTCCATCCCAACCGAGCAGCTGTAATACTTACACCCTGTCTCTAAAAATATCTGTAGTAAGTACACCCAAGAAAATACATTAAGTGTAGTTCTGGGACCTATTGAGCCGGCCTCACATCTGTGCTACAACTGACCTAGGGAATACAGTCTTAGTTCAATCCAGGCTTTACAAATGCTGTGATTCCGGGCGTGGCAATATCCACTGTGCTTCTGTTGGTAGTCTTGGGTTTTCTGATAGCGCAGCTTTGACCTCTTCATTGACCTCGAAGGTTACTGTCACCCATAAGCCCTCAGAGCGCGAGCAACGTGCTCGCAAACAGTTTGAGGATGCTTATCCCTTGCCCCTCACCAGAGTAGCGTTGAGACAGCTCCTAGCAACGCACGCCCTGCCCGGAGAAGCGCCTCACCGCGGTGCACGCTGGGAAGTGTAGTTCTTCCCGGCACCTCCTGGGATTCGGCCCGCCAAGTGAGCGGGCCGCGGGACTACAGTTCCTAGAATGCCTCACTTCGCCTTCTATTTGAGGCCGGAGGCGGCGAGGTGGGAATGTCGCCGGCGCGGAGGTGGTAGGCCTGGCGGAAACGGGCGGACTGAGTGCAATCAGAATCCGGGTCTCCGGTTGGGCTGGGTTTCCGTGGCCGTGTCTCTGAAAGGACGGCTCGCAGCAGGGCCCTCGGGGGCTAGGAGGAGCGCGGGGTGGGCGCGCGGGGGATGGAACATCGAGGGCACCCACCATGCGGGGCCTGGCGCCTCACTCCCGGAGCCGCGGTGGCTGAGGGGCGGGCTCGCGACTTTTAAAATGTCTTCATGGAGTTGGTTGAATGGGTGCGAAGACTCGACGTCATCCCAGGACCCTTTGGCCCTTACAAGTCGCTCGTATGAAACGTCCCACGCTCTGGGAAGCTGCGGACGGGAAGCATAGGAGGTAGCAGAAATTCCTTGATGTGATGTAAGCCAAAACGCCTTTGGACTTGTAGGTCGCTAAAGTCGCCGTTGCACGGGAGGAACACAAGCATTCCCCCGTGTCCACAACCCCAGAAACACTTTACATTTTAGTAAGAGGCTAGGCACACCAGGAAGACAGATGAGCGCCGCAGCCGCCTTTCTTCCTAGGCGTGTGAAGGTGGGTTCGGGCGAAGTGGAGGAGGGGAGACAGGGAGGGAACGCCAGAAAAAAATTGTTCCTAGGGTGAAATGTCTGTCACCCGTGAAAAGAGAAACCGGAGCTCATTCTCACGCGTTCTGCTGGCTACTACCTACAAATAGTCGGCAGAGTTTCTTGGTAAAACGGGCCGGGATGTGGTTACCCTTTCCACATGTCAGTACAGCATCCTCTCCCAGGGTAAAGGATGTGCACTTGCTTTTCCCAAGTACTCTCTAAGCCAAGGAAAGCTCAATAAGTGAATAGGGAATTCTCATACTCATTTTTCATAAATTCTCTCTCTCTCTTTCTCACACACACACACAGAGGCACATTTTTTTTCTTGAGACAGGCACTCACCCGAGCCTAAAAAACAAAACATCACTATATGGTCAAAACTGGCCCCTAACTCATAGCAATCCCGCTTCGCACCCTCTCCCCCAAGTGCTGGGATTACAAGTATGAGCCACTATGCCTACCTTTTTCTTCTTTTTTAAAATTTTACTTGTATTTTATGTGTAGGGGTGTTTGTCTGTGGGCCACATGCATGGCTGAGGCTTCTCTTCAGATCCCTAGCTTTTTATTTCATGATGAGGTCTTGTTAAATAGCTCTTGCTGCCTCGGGCCCCAGGTTCTGGGATTGAAACTAAGTATCTGTTACCATACCCGACTCTGAATCCTTTATTGTTGTTGTTATTTTAGCTGCACTTCTTTATTGGGGGGTGAGACACACGTGCCCATGGAGGTAAAAGGAAGCCCTTCAGGAGTCAGTTTTCTCCATCATATGTGTCCTGAGGATCCCACTCATGTAGTCAGACATGTTGGCAAATGCACCTTCATTCACAGAGTGTCTTCCAGTTCAGAAGTTCCGACTGAAAGAAGTGGGTTTGGGCCTATTCCCGACTCTGCTGGAATTCACTCTGCAGACCAGGCTAGTCTTGAATTCTTAAGAGGTCCTTCTGTCTGTCCCCAAGGTGTGCGCCACCACCGTATGACTAGGTTTTTACCTCTTAAAGTGAGATGGTCCTTAAGTCCTTAACACCCTTGGAGTCAAGCACTGGCAAATGCTATATTTTATTTATTCTTTCTTTTTTTTTTAAAGACTTATTTATTATGTATAGAGTTCTGTCTGCATTATACCTGCAGGCCAGAAGAGGGCACCAGATCTCGTTGTGCGCCACCATGTGGTTGCTGGGAACTGAACCCAGAACCTCTGGAAGAGCAGCCACTGCTCTTAATCGTTGACCCATCCCTCCAGTCTTTGGTTTTTGAGACTTACTTAGCCCAGGCTGGCCTTGAGTTTGCAATGTAGCTGAGGATGACTCTGAGCTCCTGACTTTTCTACCTTCCTTCCCAAGTTCTGGTATTTCAGGGTGATGTCACCATGTTGAGCTAAACTACATATTTTTATAATTTATTTAAATTAAAGAAATATTTTATTAGTCGGGTGTTGGTGGCACTCACCTTTAATCCCAGCACTCTGGAGGCAGAGGCTGGTGGAACTCTGTGATTTTGAGGCCAGCTTGGTCTATAGAGTTAGTTCCAGGACAGGCTCCAAAGCCACAGAGAAACCCTGTCTCAAAAAACCAAAAAAAAAAAAAATTTTTTTTTTTACTTTTAAGTATGTGAATGTGTATGCAAGTGTCTATGAGTACAGGTGTCCATGGAGGCCAGGGCTTGGATCCCCCTGGAGCTAGAGTTCCAGGAGGCTGTGAGCTACCCAGCACAGGTACTGAGACCCCAGCTCAGGTCCTCTGCAAGAACAGACTGCCCTTTGCTCCGGAGCCATCTCTCCAGCTTCAGCGCTATCCCTTTTAAGCAGCTACTTTAATTTTCTCTACTAGGGAGGATGAACTTACTCAGCAAGAATCCACATGACTGAACAGTGAAGGAGATGCAGAAAGGCCCCAAAGCCCAAGATGGTAGGCAGAGTGCAGCAGCGTAAGACGTGTGGGAATATGAGCAACCCCCACCCCATCCCTGCACCCTCAACGTTTGACTGCATAGAATATTCTGGAAGTTTTGTAGCAAGGACCAGGAGATAGTCTCCATGACAGAGTAGCACTAGGAAAAAAAAAAAAAAGTAAGCATTGAGCTGGGCCTTTAATCCCAGCATTTGGGGGGGGGGCAGGTGGATCTCTGAATTCCAGGCCAGCCTGTTTGACATAGCAAACTCCAGGTGAGTCAGGGCTGCACAGTGAGACCCTTCCCAGCATACCCTCCCCACTGCCAAAATCAGGTCTCACTGTTGCTCTGACTGGCCCTGAATTACTATGTAAAAGACCAGGCTGGTCTGGAACTCAGAGATACAGCACCCCCCTGCCCCCCCCCCCAGCTTTGGGATTGAAGGTGAGCCATGATGGCCTATCTCTGAGTTCTGCTTTTCCTGCTGGAAGCATTTTAAAACTTAGACACACAGGACAGAAGAAAACGTTCTGGTTGTTGATGCATCTATATGGCTTTTGTGTGTGGTATCTGTAAGTCCGAGGAGAGGTGTCTGTCTACACCCTGGCTTTGCTGGGTGTAGGGGCTGTCTCTGGGCTCTGAGTAAATTCCTTCTGGCTGTACCTGTAGTGCCTGGTGCTCCTTCCCGGGGCTGGAGGAGCCTCCTTCCTGCCCAGCTTCCCGGGGCTGGAGGAGCCTCCTTCCTGCCCAGATTCAGCACATGCTCCCCAGTCCACTCTATTGATGTTATTTTCCCCCATTCCAGGCCCTGAAAACCAAGAAAGGATTGAAAGGTAAGTGGAGACGTGGAGCATCATCCTTAACCCAAATGTACCTCTTCTTTCTTGTTCTTCTTTTTTGTTTGTTTGTTTGATTTTTGTTTTTCAAGACAGGGTTTCTCTGTCTGTCCTGAAACTCCCCTGTAGACCAGGCTAGCTTGGAACACACTGAGATCTGCCTGCTTCTGCCTCCTGAGTGTTGGGATTAAAGGTGTGTGCCACCACCCCCTGGCTGAGACCCTATTATTATTTCTTTATGCATGTATGTATTTATTTATTTTACCAAAACAAGCTGGTGAGGAGGCCCAGCAGGTAAAGGTGTCTCACTACAAGCCTGATCCCAAGGACTCTTCATGGGGAAGGTGAGAACTGATCCTGCAAGTTGTCTTCTGACTTCCAGACAAATGTCATGACACACATTCCCACTGTAACTTAAAAAAAAGGAAAGAGAAAAGGAAGGCCAGGTATATTGGTACACCACTTTAATCACAGCATTCAGAAGGTGGAGGTAGGCTGATCTCTGAGTTCAAGGCCAGTCTGATCTACATAGTGCCAGGACAGCCAGGGTTGTGTAGAGAGAAACTGTATCTCATAAAAACTAAAGAGCCGGAGGACCAAGAAGGCTGAGTCCGATGAAGCAAGACTTTGCTGATACACTCCTCCTAGAAAAAAAGGGTGGGAAGAACAGCCCTTAATGGAGAAAAACCACAGGGTTGACTGCACCACCCAACATTTAAAAATAAATAAATACAAGAGGTTGTATATGGTTGAGGTTAAGGGAGTGAAGGCAAAGCTGGGTGGGAGAATTAATTCAAGCATGCTTACCTAGCCTCCATCAGAAAGTGGCCAGGGAGAGTGTATTCAGGCCAGCTCTAGGAGTCAGAGGGGGTTGGGGGAATACAGAGGGTGTATGAGAAAATTGTTCCTGTGTGTGGATGCGGTGTGGATGCGTTCCCAAAACCCACACTGGCCTCTTGGAGGCTGGAAGACTGATCACTGGCTTTTGTATTTTGGGTGAGGTGGGTAGAAAGATGTCACTGAAAAATCATTATCATCATTCTTGAGGAAAAGTCACTTTAGACTTTCTACCTGAGAGTTTCAACAAGGCATTGTGGCCTGTTGCTATTGGAGATCATCCCTTGGCCAGGGACAGTCGGTGTCAGCCTGGAGCCTGGATCAGAGAACTGCAGGGCACACAGGGCTGCAGTGTATAAATGCCCCTCCTGCCTCCTCAAGTCCTGGCGACTTTTGTTTTCAGGGTCCATCGATGACGTCCTCGGCGACCTCCTGGGAGATGACAGTAAGTACTTCTCTGGACAGGGGAGGGGAGACTGCTAAGAGGGCTCAGCCAGTGAGCAGTGAGAGGGTAAGCCTGGCCACTGAGCTCTCCCGCTAGGACCCACACGGAGAGAAGAGAAACAGCTCCCACTAATCGCCATGAGGCTCGCTACACCCTGTGTAACCCTACTCTTTCACAATCCGCCATGCCGTTTTACATTCCCACCAGCAACACCGGAGGCTTCCCCCACACCCACCAGTTCTTATCTCCCAGTCTTTGGTGTTTCATTTGGTTTGTATTTTCTTGCTTTTTTATTTGTTTGTTGAGCTGGGACTTGAACCCAGGGCCTGACTCGTACTAGGCAGGCAGCCACTGTACCACTGAGCTGAATGCTTAAGCAGTTTATCGCTTTATTTTATGACAAGGTCTGAGGGGGGTGCTCAGGCTGGCCTTGAACTCACTAGGTAGCCCAGGGCGCCACTAGACTTTATATTCTGCTTCCAGAGCAGCTGTGACCACAGGCCTGGGCCACCAGGCCCAGCTCTCTCCATCATTTTGGTCACCGCCAGGCCGTGAGCGGCTGGGATGAATGCTTCCTTGACACAGCGAGTGTCTTCTCATGTGCTTGTGACATGTACATCGCCTTTGGGAAAGTGTCCGTTCAGAGCTTCGCCCGTTTGTGATTGGGAAAGTGTCCGTTCAGAGCTTCGCCTTTGTGATCAGGGCTCTTGGCTTTCGATTGTTGAGCCTAGAGCCCGCATGCACGCTATCATTTGTTCTTTTCTGCATTGTTAGTAATGCTAGGAGTGGAGCCCAGGCCTATGTGTGGCTGAGCTGCTGCCCTCAGCCCCGAGTTCCTTACATAGTCTTCCTTTTAAACGTCTCCATGGTTTATCATTACTTTTTAGTGTGGGAGGAGTGGCGCACGCTTGTGCAGGAGCACACATGCAGGGGTCAGGGGCAACTCCTCGTCTGTGGGCTCCTGGGATTGAACACCGGTGCTCAGACTTGGTGGCAAGCACCGTTACCTGCTGTGCCATCTTGCTGGCTATGTATTTATTTATTGTATTTGGGATGAGGTCTCAGTGTGTAGCCCAGGCCAACCCCAAACTTGAGGAAACCCCCTACGTGTGCTAAGATTGTAACCAAGAGCCATCATGCCCAGCTACCCCCTAATATTTGTGTCCATGTTGCTGCACTAAGGGACAGGGCTCGGGGACGTGCAGAGCTCACCAGGGGTCTCCAGGCTTCTGGTTCCAGGGAGAACACCTGTATTTGAATCTACAGTTAGGACAATGGAAAGCCGTTGTATTTCTCTGCTTTTCCTGTGGTATGGGTGGAGTGGGAGGAACTGTCCATTTGGCACCCGCCTTGCGTCTGGGATTGACTCCCTGCTTGGAAATGTACTCACTGCACGCGTGTTTGTCAAGGATGGCATCGGGACATGCCTGTGATGCCAGCAAGCTGCCCTTTCTGTGGGAAGGTGAAGGATTCAGCTAAGCGGAAGAGTCACTGTCATCTCCCTTGTGGCTTCAGGGTTTGTGGCACAACTGTGTGATGTGTCTTTACTTGTTGTCCTTACCCTAGCGACACTGCTTGAGAAGCCTGTTGAGCCAGCCTCACACGCCAGAGGCACAGCAAGCGCACCTCTGTGGCCCCCTTCCAAGGCTAAAGCGAGGTAGGCCCTGTTGGCACATTTCCATCCAGCCCCCGCCCCCAGTGCACTCCATCTTGGCCAGTGCGCAGTGATGCTGGGAGATTCTACTTGTCCCTCAGCTCTGATTAGTGGTGAATCAGAGCGAGTGAAAGGACCCTAGGCCTGGGGGGGCCTGGAGGCCTGGCATCTCGTCCTCCATCAATTGCTGGGGTCACCCCATACCTCTCTGCCCTCAGTTTCCTCAGCCCCCAAATGAGAGGGTGGCTCAGATCCCTGCCTTTCAGAGTTTTCCAGCCCTCCACCTTTCACCTTCTGTCCATCTAGGTGGGGTGGGGCAGCCTTTAGCCCTAGTAGAGATGGGTGGGTCTAAGCTGGCCTAGAATTGGATTTGTATCTGAGGGTGACCTGAAGTCCTAACCCTTCGGACTCTATTTCTAAGTGGTGGGATAACAGGTGTATGCCCTTACACCTGACTGGCCCACCCTCCCCTCCCCCCTCTCCTCCCTTCCCCTTCTTTATTCTTCCTTCCCTTCCCTGATGCTAGGATTGAACCCTGGGCCTTGTCATACGAAACACTTGCTGTGGCACTGAGTTTCGCCCCCAGACCCTTCACTTTTAAACTCATCTAGTGGCCGTCTCTCTGCAGGTCCCTCCCAAAAGACAGTGTTGACGGGCTGGTGGGAGCCGATGCTGAGGTGAGCCTGGTCTAGTCCCAGTCCTTGACCTGTGTGCTTGTCCCCCAGACAGTGACACTGGAGTAGCCTAATAGCTGCTCATGGAAAGGGTTAGAGGACCCTGCAAAGTTGGGTCGTTTCGTTCCCTTTCATTTTGAGGTAGATTTTTCTGTGTGGCCCAAGGGTTACAGGTGTGCACGCAGGGGCAGAGAGCTTAACTGATGGGCATGAACAGGAGGGTCTCTTACTCCCCAGCCTCCAAGGGTTACCTCTTTGAAGTCAAACCTGCCCATCCCTGGAGACCCAGAAAGTGTCCCAGGGTCTGTTCTTCCCAGCTGCAGGACCCACTTCCGCCACAGTCCAAGCTGTGGCCACAGGATGAGAAAGTAGTCTCACCATGCGGCCAGACAGCTTGGACTGTCTCGTGGGCAGAGGCTGTACCCATGGTGACTAGGGCTGGAACCAAGTGTTGGGCCCTGACTGACATTAGGTCCATGTTTTCACCTATGGACTCAGGTCTCCAGTATCTCGGATGCAGACCCACAGGTCTTCTTGCAGAACATGAAGGTAGCAAAACACCTTTGCCTTCTTCATGGCTGGGTGGGCGTGGGCCCCAGCAGTCCAAGCGAGGGCTTCCCAGTCCTGTAACTTCTGTATAGCTCTGTGCATCTGGAGCCCGGGAAGTTTGCCACAGGCCTCTAGTGAGAGACTTTCCTAGCTGGGTCCCTGACATAGGGGAGCAGAGTAGGGTTAAAGTGTCTTCTAAAGTCTGTTTCTTGCCTTTCCTGTATCCCCTCTGAATTCCCTGTCAAGAGCGCTCCCTCTCATCAGATGAAGCTGGAAATGAATCTTTTCTTTCTTTTTTTTTTTAACAATTTTTTTAATAACTTTTATTTATTTATTTATTTTTATTTGCATTGGTGTTTTTCGGGTATGTATGTCTGTGTGAGGGTATCAGACTTGTAGTTACAGACAGTTGTGAGCTGCCATGTGGGTGCTGGGAATTAAACCCGGGTCCTCTGGAAGATCAGCCAGTGCTCTTAACCTCTGAGCCACCTCTCCAGCCTGGAAATGAATCTTTATGCTGGACTCTTAAGAGAGGTTGTGGGCGTCAGCCACTTCTAGTGGTCTCTCCTCTCACGGTCAGCAGCGCTTTTAGCCCATTCTGTCACGGTCCCCAGGCCAAGGCAGAGCCGTTTGTCCCAGCCTTGTAGAGCTCTGTGTCCATTTCCTTCTCTTCTCTGTTTTTCTCCCCAGCATCAGCAGGCTTGGTGCTGGGTGTGACTTGCATGTCCTCATTGTCACTCTTTGTAGTGGCCCTGTGTCTCTTATTGTAGTCTCAGGAGCAGTTCCCGCCCCGCCTCCCGCCCCGCCCCGCCTCCCGCCCCGCCCCGCCTGCTGCTCCGCCCCGCCTCCCGCCCCGCCCCGCCCCGCCTGCCGTCCGTGGTTCCTTTTCCTTTCCTGCCTCACCAGTTCCCTCCATTTCCTTTGTCCTCTGGCAGTTCTGTGCCTGGGTGCCCTCAGCCCAAAGTACTCCCGCCAACCAGTCAGCTCTGTTGCCACAGAAAAGCATTTAGTTTGGGAGGTTCAGTGTCCAGGATGAGCTTAGGAACAGGGAGTGGCCGGCCTCTGAGGAGGGTACCAAATGGCAGTAGGGCACATGGTCACATTTTGAAGCTCAACAAAGAGAGTAGATGTGTTTCTGAAGAGATGGCCTCAGTGACCCAGGGACTCCTAAAGGCCCCACCTCCTAATACCATCACCCCAACAACAAGACTTTTCTTGGGGGCCTTTGGGGAACCCTGAACATCTAACCCATGGCACCTTCCCAGACATCAGGCTTCACTCCCCCTGCTGTCCTAGGACCTGGATAGCATGGATGATGATCTCTTTGGTCAAATGAAGTCTCATCTACCCTCTGGCAAAGGAACCGCAAAGGGTTCCGGGAAAGAAGTGCCTGGCAATGCCAAGCCTGCTGGCACACTAACAGCTCATGAGAAAGGTACGTGGGTGACAGCTCTTGTGTCCTGTGAGTTTCCCGTGCTGTCTTAGTCACTGTCCTATTGCTGTGAAGAGACACCATGACCAAGGCAACTCTTATAAATAAAAGAAAACATTAAATACACAGGCCTGTGGGAGCCACCATTCTAGTAGGATGAAGAGACCAAGGGGCCAATTGTGTGTTTATGTGGGAAGAGGCTGCTCTGTTCTTGTCTTAGGTAGGGTGACAATTGCAGGATGCAACACACACAGAAGCGATTTGGAGAGGAGAGGGTTTGTCTGCCTCACCATCAAAGGAAGTGAGGACAGTAAGCCAAGCCGGGCAGGGACCTGACGCAGACGCCGTGCAGGCGGGCACTGCTCACAGCTTGCTCCCATGGCGTGCTCAGCCTTCTTCCTTATAGAACCAGGACCAGCAGCCCAGGGCTGGCCCCACCCACCACAGCCTGCACCCTTCCTTCTTAATCGCTAATGTAAAAAGTCTCTCGACCTGTGGGCCGCGACCGCTCAGTGGTTGTCAGATAGCCTGCATGTCATGTTTGCATTACAATTAATAACAGTAGCAAAATTACACTTATAAAGCAGCAACAAGCCAGGCGTTGGTGGCGCACGCCTTTAGTCCCAGCACTCGGGAGGCAGAGGCAGTGGATCTCTGTGAGTTCAAGACCAGCCTGGTGTATGAGAACTAGTTCCAGGACAATCTCCAAAGCCACAGAGAAACCCTGTCTCAAAAAAATCAAAAAAAGTAGCAACAAAATAATGGTTGGGGGGTCACCACAACACGAGGAACTGTATTAAAGAGTCAGAGCATTAGGAAGGTTGAGAAGACCACTACTCTACGGGCTTGCCTGTAGCCCCATATTATGGAGGCATTTTCTTAATTGGAGCTCCCTCCTCCTGTCAAGTAGACCTAAAACTGTCTAGCACACCTCTAGAGTGCTGGAGGATCATTTTCAAATTTAAAATGGAAGGTTTGGGCTGGGGAATGTGGCCCGGTGATAGAGCATGGTTCCCTGGGTTCCATTCCCAGCACTGCAAAGAAGGAAAAGAGCCGTTTGCTGGCAGCTTACGAATCTCCCGGTGAGAGGTGGAGGCAGCTTTCAATCGTGTCTCCCTTCCCAAGGCGCAGGGGGGGAGCCCTGCTGTATGGGTTCCTCCATGGCTGTGCCTATCGCCAAGAACCTCAGTTTGTCAGAAGAAAGTGCCCACTGCCCCTGGAGATCCAGACAAGGAAACCCAGTTCCAGGACTGCCTTCTCTGTTTCTCCTGTAGGGGACACCATTCCCACTAAGAAGTCACCTCCCCCTTCCAGCAACTTTGGGCTTCAGTACAAGAAGTTTTCCTTTGAAGGTATCAGAGTCCTATCTCTCCCACTGCCCCCCACCCCCACCCCGGGTCGCTTGACTTGAGAGCAGTCTGGGTAATGCTACTGAAGGCCAAGGCTGTGTGTGTGTCAGAGGAACAGAGACTGGTCATGGTTTAGTTCTCAAGAGTTTCCAGAGGAATTAAGTGTGCTCTATCCGCCAGAATGCTTGAGAGACTTACTGGCAAAGACTGTGAAGCCAGGCTTCAAGATGGAAATGTTCTAAAATAGAAGGAAAAGGTCCCTTTATAACTGGGTTCATGCCTTAGGGACATTTGTAGGAGCCCCAGGGTTCACCCAGCTCCCTACCCACTGCTCAGGCCCCTCGGTGTGCCTTCCCTCCCCATAGACCGCACTCTGTGGATGCTCAAGAGCCTCTGCAGCTGCAGCTGCAGCTTCCGGCTTGTTTCTCCTAAGCAAAGGACAGTGGTCTGACCTTTTGTCTTTCTTTCTGGCCATGAGACTTTGAAGACCCACTGGCGGGACTTCTCTCTGATGAGGAGGAAGAAACAGCCAAGAAGCCACCCACAATGGAGAGCAAGCCTGCTTCCAAGGGCCCCAGTACAGCTGCAGGCCACCAAGGTAGGAGGAGAGGCCTACTCCTGGCCCCGGGGTGGAGTCGCTACAGCTCTCTAGGACAGAGCCCCAGACCTCCAGACCTCAGCAGGGCGGGCCCTGGAGTAAGAGCTGAATGTGTGAGCACTGGGTCCTGGGTCTCTCTCTCTTTCTCCTTTGTTTTTCAACTCACTGTAGACCAGGCTGGTCCCAAACTCACAGGGATCCACCTGCCTCTGCCTCCCGAGTGCTGGGATTAAAGGCGTGCGCCCAGCTGTGGATCTCTTTCTTAGGGCCTTCTATTCCTCTGACTCCTGGGGATACTCCCATTCGGAAGAAAGAATTGCTGTTTGACGAAGGGGATGACATCATGACCACCCTTGGGTTTGAAGACAGCCCCAAGGCAGAGAAGAAGAAGACCGGAGACCAGTGAGGGTCCTTGTGAAGTGGGGAATCCCTGGCCAGGCTGCTCCCTGAGGCCCAGGGAGAGCTCAGGTTGGGACAACATGGGAACCCCATGTCATGGCACACTCCTTGCCCACACTGTCCCACAGGGAAGGGCCCCTCCCCGCTCGCTCCAAGCTTGACGAACTGCTGGGTCGAGGCACAGCGGCCAAGCTCCTTAATCGCCAAGGCACTGGAGAACGCAGAGAGTTCAAGCTAGACAAGAAGTATCAGAAGCCAGAGGGTGAGAATGCGGGGGGGGGGGGCAGTGGGGGAGGGGGCAGTGGGGGAGGGGGCAGTGGGGGAGGGGGACAGGGGGAGAGGGGCCTGTCCCAGCCGTGAGGTGACTGTTCTCTTCTGTCTCTTCCCCATACCCTTTGCTTTTTGGTTTTGTTTGTTGAGATAGGGTCTCTATATAGTTCCTGGACTCAGCCTTCCCAAGTGCTCTGATTAAAGACCTGAGCCACCCTGCCGAGTTTTTCCTTTCTTTTGAGGCAGAATATTACTGTAAGATAGTTTCAACTTCATGATAACCCTGGGCCAGTCTCCCCAGTGCTGGGATTGTCTGAGACAGCTGTGTCACGATCGTTTACCCATAGGCAGCCAGCCAGCACTCTGCTGCTCTCTGTAGCCCTGTTTGATTTATGATGACCACTCATTCAGTTGGCTTCCCTCAGCCTGGAGATGTCGCCCAGTGGTAGAGCACTTGCCTGGCATCTGCCAGATCCTGTGAAAAGTTTGGCTTTCCTTGTAGATCATGTTCATGCCCTCTACTTTCCAGACAAAGAAGACAGCTGGGATGACGAGACCCTCACCTTTGGGGCTTACCAGCCCACTGTAGCCTCCTCTGAGGGCAGACAGTCCCGCCGGCAGTCAGTCAGGTAAGTGGGGCCTCAGAGACGTCAGCCTTGGGGACAGGCCTGTCCCTGTAGCCTTCCCAATCTCACCCAACGGCCGTGAGTCTGCTGTGGTAAACTGAGAGAGGAGCCGGGGCCCCCAACATCCCAGGCAGAGCTGGGTACACCTGCAGTCTCCAGACCCCACACTCCTCAGAGGGAAAAGGCTGAGGCGGGCCTGCTTCCGCTGGAAACCCTGAGTGTCATGAAAGGCTGGCATGTCACTTGGTCTCCTAGCCCAGGGTATAGCGCAGCCTCCACCTGGAGCAGCAGTGGGGGTCCTCCAATGGCTTCCAGGACCCTGCCATCGGCCGAATCCTCATGACACACTGCTCATTTGCAACAGAAACAGACCTGCAATGAACTGCAGGATCTGTGATTTTTCTCCACGTACATGTTTTTGATGTAAAAGGAGCTATGTGTTTATTTTGTGTGTATGAGTGTTTTGCCTGCATGCATGTCTGGTGCCTGAGAAGGTCAGGAGAGGATGCCAGGTCCCCTGGCGCTGGGGTCCTGCTTATGTGACAGCTGGACTGTCTCTTCCTGCCCTTTTTATTGTTGTTGTTGAGACAGGCTGGCTTCTAGCTCACTGTGTGTGTAGTCACGGATGACATTGACTTTACCTTCCTGCCTTCATTCTGGACAGAATGCTGGGTCAACAGGTGTGGACCACCATCCTGGTCGGTTGTGGCACTAGGGATGAGCTTAGTCCATGCCAGGCATGTGGTCTACCAGTTGAGCCATGTCTCCAGTTGCTGTGGGATGGTCACCATTGTTAACGCTGTCTTTGTACCACAGGCTAGCATTGTTGCACAGGCTAGCTTTGCACTTACAGCAGTCCTCCTGGGATTACTGGGGTGAACTAGGGCCAGATGTGTGCCCCCTCAACAGCAGAGAGGAGGACTGATGGGGGCCAATGGGATGGGCTTCCTCGCCTGCCCAACACCCCCCCCTCTGTCTTGAAGCAGGTTCTTGGGAGAAGGTAGTTTGGACCTTAAGGGAGACGCCAGCTTCAGACAGAGCCCTCCAAGAGCTTCCAGCCCCACCCACCCCAGGAAAGGAGGAGCCGACTGGCTAGGCCTTAAGGATGATGACCTGCACCTGCCGTCTCCCTCTCCTGTTCAAAAGGTTCAACAAGAAGACTCAGCCATCTCCACACCCTCTTTACCCCCTCCTACAAACCAGCCCTCAGCCCCTGAGCCACACCCTGCCCCAGCTGAACTGCCCTCAGCAGCCAAGCCAGCAGCCAAGGGTATGAGGCCCTCTACCAAAGCCAGCCAGGCCTCACTGAAAGCCTCTGAGGAGAAAGAGGATGACTGGCTGAGCCATGTCATATCTCAGAAGAAATCCCACGGTCTAGCCAGAGAGGAGCATGCTGGGCCCTCTAAGGGCCTGAACTCACAGGGACCATTGGGTCAGACCCCTTCCAACAGGTATGAGCATGGGCTACTGTGGCTGATGGAATGGATTTGGCAAGGTCTGGGGGGCTAGCCTTGCCCACCTTTCCTGTCCCATCCTTTGTTAGAGATACTAGTGTGGGCACTAATGCCAACCCTGCTTCGCTTCTCTTCCTTACGGGCACAACGGAGAGCTGCCCAGATGCAGACAGACAGGCCAGGGCCTGGTAACACCCATGCCCTGACTGCCATGAGGACAGGTGCCGACTGGATTGGGCAAGGGAAAAGAAAGGGTGTTTTGTGGTGGCAGGATTCCTGTCCCTCTGAACAGAGGCCCTGTCTGCAGCACCAGTCAAACTGGCAAAGAAACCCACTGTACCAAGTGTAGGTGTGTCTGTCAGCTTGTGCTACAGGGGCGGTTGCATGTGTGAGTGAGCGTCCTATACCCTATTGCACACAGTACACATGGGAACTGTATGCTCCTGAGAACCGTAGAATGGCAGTACAGTGAGCCTGGGTGGTGAGTGACCCCTGTAAGCAGGAAGGGGAAAGGACTGACATCCAGAGGTAGCAATAACAAGCCTTGCAACCAGAACCAACCAGAGGGGGTTGTGTGAGTCCAGGGACAGCACCACTGTGTCCTAGGCATCCTAGAGCTGGTACCGGTGTTGGGGGAGAGCAGTTTTGATGTTGACCTGAGAGCCAAGAAAGAAGGGAAGAGAACAGAAGAGAGTAATCCAAGGGTAGCTGTGGTGAGCGGATGGCTGAGCAGCACTGGGATCTGAGAGTAAACAAAGATAAACGAAGCATGACAAGGCTTGAGCTTGAATTTAGCTCCAGTGCCTGCGGCATGCCCATGGCTGCTGTGTTCCTGAACCATGATGGATGATGAGGTGGACAGCAGATCCTAGAAAGGAAAGGCATCCCATAAACTCCAGGAGCCCAGCCTGGAAAAATTCCAGGAAGTGTTGGGAACAGAGGCAGGCAGGGGGGAGGAGGGGTGGGAACTGGCAGGGGGAGGACGGGTGGGAACAGGCAGGGGAGGAGGGGTGGGAACTGGCAGGGGAGGAGGGGTGGGAACTGGCAGGGGAGGAGGGGGTGGGAACAGGCAGGGGAGGAGGGGTGGGAACAGGCAGGGGAGGAGGGGTGGGAACAGGCAGGGGGAGGGGTGGGAACAGGCAGGGGAGGAGGGGTGGGAACAGGCAGGGGGAGGGGTGGGAATAGGCAGGGGAGGAGGGGTGGGAACAGGCAGGGGAGGAGGGAGGAGGGGTGGGAACAGGCAGGGGGAGGGGTGGGAACAGGCAGGGGAGGAGGGAGGAGGGGTGGGAACTGGCAGGGGAGGAGGGAGGAGGGATGGGAACTGGCAGGGGAGGGGGAGGCTGCCAGAGCTTCTTGCTAGGAGCTTGTCTGGGATTATCTTCATGGAGTTCACCACCAGCCTTCACCTTTATCATGGACTTTCCTCAGCCAGCCTGTTGCTAGCACTCAGGCCCTTGAACAGGCCACTGCTGGAGAAGCCTCAAGAGCAACTCCCCAAGGGACCACAGCTGTCAGGCCTGGCGTCACAGGGTATGTCCAAAGCCAAGGCTGCAAGGGCAGCCTAGGCTTCCTTCCCTGGAGACAGACAGGGTGCTGTGCTGGGACCCAAGGTCATATTCCGCATCTGCCTAGATGACAGATCTGAGGCCACACAGCGCCCGTTTACCGAGCCCCCAGAGCAGCCACACAGCGCCCGTTTACCGAGCCCCCAGAGCAGCCACACAGCGCCCGTTTACCGAGCCCCCAGAGCAGCCACACAGCGCCCGTTTACCGAGCCCCCAGAGCAGCCAGGGCCTTCACTCCTTGCACACCACCAGCCCGGAGACCTCTGCACCCACTTGTTCGAATCTTGCTTGTCTGTGCTTCCCCTTCTCTGCCTCTGTCTTACACAGAAGCTGTTCAGGGTGCCCTCGTCTTTATGTTCCCAGGTCCTCCATGAGTTGGAGCCAAGCTACTACTGTCCTCCCTGTAGGGGACCCCAAGGCAGGAGCGGCTTCTGCCTCTGGGGACTTCTCTAGCAGAGGTTTGTTTCCTTCTTTGCTTGGAGTTGCTTGGAGCCCTGTGAGGAAAAGGTACCCTGAGCTCCTTTGGGGACTCTGGAAAATGAATGACAAGGGTCTTCTGAACCTCCTCCTCTTTTCTCTGTTGTCAAATTTTCAGAGCCTGCCATTTATGTTCCACATTCCCAGGGACCCACGGGGCTCTCTGTGCCAGTCCAGGTAGGGAAGGGTGGACAAGCAGGTATGGGTCTTGGGACCAGTAAACAATTCTCCCCTGCTCAGCGGCCGCTCAATGAGCTGGCCTCTGACATTCTGCTAGAATGCATCAGATATATGCAGTAAGGCATCAGCCCACTCATCTGGTGTTAGCAATTTCCTGAACTTTGAGGCTCCCTACTCATGGGTGGAGTTGGGTGTAACTCTGCCAGCTTCAGTAGGGAACTGGATGACCGCTATGCAGGAGTGACTTGGGATGTTCGGAGGAGGGGGATGCATTAGTGCAAGCCTGGTATGATGGTACACCCAAGAGGCTCAGGCAGGAAGCGCATCCCACGTGTGAGGTTAGCCTACAGCTACCTAGTGAGTTCCATCCCATCCTGGCTTCAAGATGGCTGGGGATTGCTCTCTAGAGGAAGGCTTGCCTGGCATCTGAAATACCAGGGCTCAGTCTCCAGTACTGACAAAAGAAAAGCGAATGTTCTCTTAGTTACTGTTCCATCCTGATGATTAGGCAGCAGAAACAGTGACAGACACTCTGGACCTGGCATTGCCAGAAAGCCCGTCTCTAATGGCACACCTCCTCCAACAAGGCCACACCCCCAGATCCTTCCCAAACAGTTCCACCAACCAGGGACCAAGCATTCAAACAGATGAGCCTGTGGGGACATTCTCTTTCCAAACTCCACCACACAAACTCCTCTCCAGAAGAGTGGGGGAGAAAAATCAAGTTTGAGGCCAGGCCGAGGCTGTAATTCCAAGCCAGCCCAGCCCTGAGTAGAGTGAGACCTTGTCTCTCTCTCTCTCTCTCTCTCTCTCTCTCTCTCTCACACACACACACACACACACACACACACGTGCACGCGCGTACACACACACACACGCCCTGTTGTTCTGCTGGAAAACACCCCCATATCTGCGTCTCCCCCTGCATCACTAGACCTGGGAGATACCACATCCGATGGGAAACGATGACTAAAGGGCTGCTTACCATAACTAGCTGTCACCCTAGGCCTGTAGGCCTGACCTAAAGAGCCAGGGCAGGGGCTTTTGTCACAAAACATTTGTCTCTCTCAGGCTAGAGATGGCTCCTCATTGAAGAGGGTGTCCTTGGGAGGGAGGGTACTCTACTTCATGACCAGAGCTCTGATGACTGCTTCCCTGCAAGGCCTAGGCCTCACCAACATCCTGCCCTGCTGGAGCTGCCCTGGTCTTGTCCTGTCTGGCCACCTTAAGTGATGGCCAAGGGGCCCACCCGTGCAGTGGAGTGGCAGAGCTCACGGGAGGCCTGTCAGAACATCTCTCATCCTCTCCCACAGCCCCTACTCCCAGAGTCTGTGGTACAGAGCCTGCTGCCAGGCTCGGGGTACCAGAAGCAGCTCCTGGCCGCTCAAGGGCAGCTTCACAGCAGCACTGCCCAGCTTCAGGCAGAGCTGCTGCAGAGCCAGACCAAGCTATCGGAGCTGGAGGCCCAGGTGAGAGTTGCAGGGCCGCTGTGCTTGTGGGAAGCGGTGGGCGACACCACCGGGAGGGAGGAGGGACTGGGTGCACCGCTTGTGGCGTGGGCTGCCCGAAGGGGTCTACCACTCTTGTATGACCCGTGCCTAGGTGCGGAAGTTGGAGCTGGAGCGGAGCCAGCACAGAGTGCTGCTGGAGAGTTTGCAGCAGCGGCACCAGGCTGACCTGGAGCTCATTGAAGATGCGCACAGGTACCTGCTATCTCGGGGGCCTGCCTGAGTGCAGGTTCGGATCTCCTCCCCGGGCCCCAGGTCACGCCAGTGTGCTCAGTGAGGCCCTCTAGATGGGTGTTGTGTTGACAGAAGCCGTATCAAGGTGCTAGAAGCATCCTACCAGCAGCGGGAGGAGCAGCTCCGCAGAGAGAAGGAGGCGCTGTCAGCTCAGCATGCGTCATACTGCCGGGAAGCTGAGCAGGCCAGGGCTGAGCTCATAGCCCAGCACCAGCGGCATTTGGCCACGGCTGCACAGGAGAAGGACCAGGAGGTGGCCCGGCTTCGGGAGCTGCAGCAGTAAGGACAAGAGGCAGCAGAGTGGGGAGTGACCTTGTAAGGACCGGCAAGAGGGCAGGGCAGCGTCTGGAGAGTAGGGCTTGTGAGGACTGGCTGGCTGACAGCCGTGCCCAGAAGACCAGTGTGGCTCTGCAGCCTTCACATCCCCTCGCCCTTCCCTTCGGCCCGCTGAGATGAAGGCTCAAGGCTGACTACAGCAGTCCATTTCCCCTCACCTACTCTGGGATGGGAGGGTCTGGGAAGTCATGCACGGAGCTTTCTGGATGACAGTGGAACTAAGAAAAGACCAGTAGAGAGACTCTGGAGGACAGAGCAGCCTGTGGGCCAGCACAGAGCTTCCCCCTGTGCCGTGGACGGTGTCCCGCTGAGCAGCAGGGTGCTCCTGCACGGAAGCGATAAGAGATGAGATGGAGGAGCCACGGAGCACAGGCCTGAAGGAGGAGGTGGAGATAGTACTCAGAGGCATGCTGCTGGCATGTGCCTGCGTGTCTTGCTCACAGTGGCCCTTGGCCGTCCTTGCCTTCCCCCCAGGGCATCCATCCTGGAGATGCGCAAGGACCATGAGCACCAACTACAGAGGTTGAAGATGCTGAAGGATCAGGAGATCGATGCCGTCACCAGTGCCACCTCCCATACTCGGTACGAGTGATGCCTGTTGCTGCTTACCCAAGGGATTAGTTCGACCTGGGTGTCCCCAGGGTGAGACTCCCTGATAACCCTTCAGGTCCCTGAATGGCATCATTGAGCAGATGGAGAGATTTTCCAGCAGCTTGACTGTGCTGTCCTCCCGTGTGGAGGCCTCACACTTCTCCACCTCACAGGAGCGAGAACTGGGCATCCGGCAGCAAGACGAGCAGTTGCGAGGTAGCCCTTCTCTGTAACTGGCACCCCCTTGTTAGGAAGGAGGGCGGTCAGTGAGCACCCTGTGTGTTGCCCCCAGCTCTGCAGGAGCGACTGGGCCGGCAGCAGCGAGACATGGAGGAAGAGCGTGGCCGGCTCCAGGAGATCATTGGGAAGATGGAGGTGCGCCTGAGTGAACAGAGCCGGCTCCTGGAACAGGTGAGTCTTCCCTGACGTCCAGGGTGTCTGCACCCCAGGCCCACATAGATGAGCTCTGCCTCTCTGCATTTGATCCTCGCCAGTAGACCAAACCCATGATCAGTCATGCTCTGACCTCCACTCAAGCAGGCAGTGGCCAAGGCTTGTTCTTCCTGTCCCTTCCCGCTTCTGTCTTCAGCCCTGCGCTGGGCCACCCAGCACCTGCCCTTCAGCCACCAGCCCCGGGCCATCCCGTACAGGGCCAGCCCCACCATCACTGTACTCCTCTCTTCCTCTTGTCCGCCAGATCTGTCACAGCAACCTGTGACATTGGAATGCATACTCTTGCCTACTAAGTGTTATTTAGCCCCGTCATGTGACAGCCGTGTTTGAACCCCCCACATGTCATTCACAGATGAAAGTGCGCTTCAGTCTTCCTTTTTAGTGTGTGTGGGTGTTTGCCTTTGGAGGCCAGGAGAGGGCATCACATCCTCTGGAACTGGAGTTACAGATGGTTGTGAGCCGCCATGGGGTGCTGGGAACTGACCAGTCCCCTGGGAGAGTGGTCAGGGCTCCTAACGGCTGAGCCATTCGTTACTGTAGCCCCTAAGCGTTAGTCTTTAAGGAACACTAAACTGCTGAACTTCTCCCCTCACACTCACAGAAGCTGTGGGTTTCTAGCATGTGTAGGTAATGGGCCACATCTGGCTGTTCAGGGCAGGGCACTCCTGAACCTTCCCTGTGGTGCAGCTTGACCTGTTACTGGGGCCTCCTAATTCTGAAATGCAGGAGCTGGACCTGGGCAGTATCTTCCAAGCAGCCGTCACTTGTGATTTGTTTGTTTGTTTGTTTGTTTTATTGGAAACGGGGAGTTTATAACTTAGCCTGCAAGAAGCCAAATTGGCCCAGCCTCTCTGGAAGAGTCTGGCCTGCTCCCAGAGTGGGGAGTCGGCCCTCAGCCCTGCCCTGGGCCTTGCAGGAACGCTGGCAGGTGGCCGCTGAAAAGTCCAAGGCAGAGTCTGCCCAGCGCACCCTGGAGGAGCAGAGGAAGCTCATGGTCCAGCAGATCTCCATGGAGAGGGAAGAGCTGGAGAGAGCCAAGGTGAGTGCAGCTCCACACCCAGCTGCTGACCCCACACCCCTGCCAGAGGACACGCCCACTATGCCCACTGTCCCCACACAGAGCGCCTTGCTGGAGGAGCAGAAGTCAGTCATGAACAAGTGTGGGGAGGAGCGCCGGCGCCTGGCAGCGGAGTGGGCCGAGTACTTCACACAGCAGAAGCTGAGTAAGGAACGGGCCGAGCGCGAGGCTGAGAGGGCGCTGCATGCGGACTCCCAACGGGAGGGCACCATCATCAGCCTGACCAAGGTAGGGCTCAGAGCCTCGGTGGCCCCGGGCTCCCAGCTGTGTGCAGAAGTCCCCAGACCTAGGAAATAAAAGCACGGCTAGATATAGCAAGAAGTTGGAACAGCAATCAGCCCCTCAGGTAATTTGCCTTTTCTGCGGCACTGTGCGTATTTGTCTTACATGCTGGTTGGTTCTTTTGACTCATATTTAGGTGAGGAAACTGATAATTCAGAGACACTGGACGTACTGAATTTGTGTGCCTTGTGTGGGAGCCCTTGGGCTTGGCTGTAGGCCTCCCTGCTCCATGCCCAGGAAGCCCCTTGCGCCGTTGCTGGCTTCCAGAGGCAGGGGGAGAAGGGGCCCCCAAGAGCTGTACAGTGCCTGAGTGAGCTCGGATAGGCGAGCAGCAATGATCCCACCTTCTCAGGAGCAGGCAGAGCTGACTGTCAGGGCCTGCGAGCTCCGGGCCAAGGAGGAGAAGTTGGCTGCTGAGAGGGAGGCTTTGGAGAGAGAGCGCCAGGAGCTCCGCCTGGAGAAGGACAGGCTACACACAGCCAGCCTGCACCTCCAGGCCCGCGTGCAGGAGGTGGAGCACATGAGCAAGGTATGCCGCGGAAGGGCCGTGCTGTGAGCCGCTGTCCTGTGACTCTAGCCAGCCCTGACCCAGTGGCCTCCCTGCAGGTGGCCTCCAAGAAGTATGAGGAGGGTGAGCAGGCCCTGCAGGAGGCCCAGCAGATGCAGTCTGAGCAGCAGGGCCGGCTGCAGGCCGTTCAGCGGCAACAGGAGTGGCTGCGGCAGCAGGAGCAGCGTATGCACCAGGCAAGGTTCCAGGCCGCACGCTCCTTCCTGCCCCTCAGGCCGCCTGCCTGTCCTCCTCACTGAGCCCGTATCTCTGGGGTTGGCACAGGAGCATCTGAGCCTGGCTCAGCAGAGACTGCGGCTGGACCGGGTGCGACAGGAAGTGCCTTCCAGCCTTCTCGGGCTGCCCTCCGCAGTGCAGGGCCCAGCAGCGGCCAGCCTGGACGGTGAGTGACGCCGGGAGCATGGGACACTGGCTGGGGCAGGTGGCGGGGTCTCCTCCAGCTACCTAACTCAGGGGTTGCTTGATTCTATTTGTTTGAAGATAGGGTCTTAGATTATAATTATAGCCCAAGCTGGGTTCAGACTCAGACCCTCCTGCCTCAGCGTTCTGGATGCTAGATTACAGGTGTGTCAACTGTTGAACTATCTGGCTAGCCCCACACCCTTTTTGTTGTTTTCTTTTTGTTTTTCAAGACGGGGTTTCTTTGTGTAGCCCTGGCTGTCCAGGAACTTGTTCTGTAGAGCAGCTGTCCTCCTAACCGCCTGTCTCTGCCTCCCAAGCGCTGAGATGAAAGGTGTGCACCACCAGCTTTGTTTTGCTTTTTGAAGGGATTTTTTTGTTTATTTGTTTGGTTTGTTGGTTTTTAGTTTTTTCGAGACAGGGTTTCTCTGTATTGATTTGGAACCTGTCCTGGAACAAGCTCTGTGGACCAGACTGGCCTCGAACTCACAGAGATCCGCCTGCCTCTGCCTGGGACTAAAGGTGTGTACCACCAACCCCTGGCTTGTGTTTGTTTTGAGACAGGGTCTCACTATGTGGCCCTGGCTGGCCTTGAGGTTACAGTCACAGAAATTTTGCCTGTGTCTCCTGAGTGCTGGGATTAATGGTCCACTATACCTTTTGGTTGCTGTTTATTCTTGTTTCTTTGGAGTCTTACTTTGTAGCCCAGGCAGGCCTTGAACTCAGAGTAATCCTCCTGCCTCTGCCACCCCATGCTGGGATTGCAGGTGTGTTCTGCCACTGCAGTCTCCCAGCCTTCATCCTTCCTTGTTCTTGTGTGTGTGGGTCTGTGCACCCATGCAGAGCCCACACACAGGAGGTCACCAGCTGTCCTGCTCCGGTACAGTCTGCTTTGTCCTTATAAAAAAATGTTGTGTGGGGTGTTCTGTGCCTGATGCCCATAGAGGCCAGAGGATGACATCAGGTCCCCTGGAACTGGAGTTACAGATGATTGGGAGCTGCCACATGGGGGCTGTGACTGGAAGCTGGCTTTTCTGGAGTCCCCAAGGCATTGGGCCAGGCTCTTCCCATAGGCAGCATGGTAAAAGCAAGGCCCCCTCAGTTTGCCCCCTGACATTGGCCCCGCTTTTCTCCTCAGCCGCCCAGGCCTCTGCTCCCATCAGTCCTCAGTGCAGGCAGACGCCTGCTGCCCCGGGGGCCACACACCTCCTCGCCAAGCTAATGCTGCTGAAGCACACAGCGGCACAGGTAAGGACCCGCGGGCCTGGGCTCTCACAGTCACGTTCATAACACAGTCCCGCCAAGGCCCCAAGGAGGGCTGGCCCCTGCTCATAAGGGAAGAGCACACAGCTAGGACTGGGGATATGTTAAATGGTAGAACACTTGTCTGACTTGTACAGGGCCCGGGTTCAATCCCCAGTAATACCCCCTGTTAAAAATGGCTTTGAGGGCTGGAGGGCCATGAAAGGCCAGGCTCACAACCGAAAAATTGGCTTTGAGCCAGGCGGTAGTGGCACACACCTTTAGTCCCAGAATTTGGAAGGCAGAGGCAGGTGCATCTCTGTGAGTTTGAGGCCAGTTCTGGGACAGCCAAAGCTACACACAAAGAAACTCTGTCTCAAAAAATCAAAGAAAAACAAAACAAACAAAAAACAAAAAACACAGACCATACAACTTTAACCTCAGTACTTGGGAGGCAGAGACAGGTAGATATCTGAGTTCAAGGCCAGTTTGATCTGCATAGCAAGTTCTTGGCCAGCCAGGAAAAAAATAAGAGGAGGCAAACTGTCTAAACAGGTTCAGGCCTGTTCTAGTCACAAGAGGTTGGCAATAACCCTTAAACTGCAAATAAGCTTTGCCACCAGTGATACTAGCTGCCACTCAAGGAGCATGTCCTACATGTTGAGCTCAAAGCTGAAGCTACACGTGCATGGTATGCTTTCTCACGGCCTGCATGGGGGGAGGGGGTGACTGCTTTCTCACGGCCTGCATGGGGGGAGGGGGTGACTGTTACTTATAGCCTTAGACTTTTTCTTTCTTCCTGTTTTGTGTTTGCTTGCTTTGTTGACATGGGATCTCGCCCAAGCTGGCCATGGGTTTGCGTGTAGTCCTCTTTCCAAGGGCTGGGATCACAGGTGTGAGCCAGCTGGCCCAGCTGTGACACATTCTTATCTCTAGTCTGTAAATGAAGGCGCTGTAGCCTAGAGACTTGAGGTCATTGCTGATAAGTACCAAGGTTCCCAAGTCCTTGCCAGGACTGACATCACGGCCTGTCTCACTTCATGCGTGGGCTCCCACACACCCCCACTGCTTCCCAATGCCAGGCAGTAAGTGAGGGGGTCCCAAGTGCAGGCTGGCTCTGCCAGGACCAGACGTGTGAGACTCCTCTGGATCTGCCTCACAGGATCATGACTTCTTAGAGAATGAACAGTTCTTCCTGGAAACTCTGAAGAAAGCGCCCTACAATATGGCATACCACTCTGCCTGAAAGTACCAGTGCCTCCTCAGCAAGCGTCAGGCCCACAAGCCCACTGCTGACAGCAACCCCCTCCATGGACGGACACACTGCCCAGGGTCTGATTACAACTTCTTGTGTGGACAGGCTGTCTGTGTGTTCTTCCCAGGGACTGTGACTTGCAGCTGAGAGGCAGGTGCCTTCCTCAAGGGAGCAAGGACAGCAAGAAAGTCTCACCACCAGTCGCCCACCCTTGTCCCCTAGTAAGGCCCCATCTCACCCTTGCCTAGGGCAGCCACTGGAGCCCTTTATGCCCGGGCTTGTCTCAGGGCAGCAGGGCGGGGCTGCACCAACAGCCTCTGCTTTCCCTGAGTATGGTCCCCTCCCAGGTGGGAACGGGAGAAGGGCCTCGGAGCTGAGTTAGTGGGAGCCTGGCCGGGGACAAGGAAGACCCTGCTGGAGGGTTCCATGCCCAGACAGCTTCTTCTAGTTGGATGTTTCTGGAATTCATTCAACACTTCATCCCCACTTTCAGGCTAGCTTACACACACACACACACACACACACACACACACACACACACACTCCCATTACTTCCCCGTGACCAGCTAACTCATCCTGAAAGCCAGCTCCCTCCCCATCCAAGTTCCCCAGAGGTGGAGATGGGGAGCTGTAGATTATGGAGGATGTATGGAGAAGCAGAGGAGTGTGGGGGGGTCTCAGGAGCCCTGAAAATGAGGGGCCACACAACCGAGCTGCTGCTCCTCCAGTCTCTAGTGTACTGAGACCCTCTGGGGGGGGGGGCAGGAGCCGGGCAGGGCAAGGGAAATGATCCAGCAGGCCTAGGACAGAGGGACTCAGAAGGAAACAGCGGTTGCTTCCACAGCAGCTTCCACCTGAGGGGGTGTGTCCGCAGGAGCAGGTGGGCAGAGGAGGGGCACACGGGTGATACAGAGTCTGCCCCTGCTCTCCAGAACCGTTCTCAAAGGAACCTAGTTCTCCAGCCAACCATCTGCGCTTGGGCTTGAACCCATTAAACGCTATATTCTTTGGGGTTCTGTTTTGACTTCGCATTACTGGGGATCAACCCTGGGGCTGTAGACATGGGGTAAAAGTTCTTCCCCCATTCACGGTTCCCATATTGGACCCTTTAGAGCTTGCCCGTGCCCATTGGAATTCACCCTTAGTTATGAGAAAACATTTGCTCTGCCAGTTGTGGCGGCTCACGTGTGTAATCTCTGTGCTCAACTTCAAGACAAATCTGAGCTACAGGACGTTCCAAGCCAGGTTAGCCTGGGCTACAGAATGAGTGGTAGCACACACCTTTAATCCCAGCACTCCAGAGGCAGAGGCAGTCAGATCTCCGTGTGTTCAAGACCAGCCTGGTCTACAGAGTGAATTCTAGAACAGCCAGTACTGTTTAGAGAAACCCTTTCTTGAGAGAGGAGGGAAGGAAGGAAGGAAAAGAAAAAGAAATACAATGCTTGCTTTATGTTCCTGTTATTTGCTGGGAAACAACAGTCCCTAGAACAGGCAGATACTCCCCCCTCCCTTTGGTTTTTCAAGCCAGATTTTGAGCCCATCCTGAAAATAGCTCTGTAGACCAGGCTGGCCTCAAACTCACAGAGGTCTGCCTGCCTCTGCCTCCTAAGTGCTGGGATTAAAGGTGTGCACACAATTGCTGCTGTAGCTGGTGCCCATAAGGACTGAACGAGCTGGGACTCGGTCCTCTCAACACATAGACAGTCCAGAGTCAAACCTGTATGAATAGTTCTGGTTTACAGGGCCATCTTGCATTTTCGTTTGCCATCACCCGAAGGGAAAATAGATGACTTCCAGTGCATGGGAAGGGAGTACTACAAAGAGAGTCGCCAGAACTTGGTCTCCCTGAGTAATGAAGCAGGCTGAGACTTGGGGAGCAGGTGGAGCCAGCTTTGTGTCATCTTGTCAAAGGCCTGACTTGGCTGGCTGTGGTGTAGACACCTGGAATCCCAGCACTCGGGAGGCTGACCTGTAGGCTTGTGAGCTTTGGGGGAGTCTGGGCTACACTGAAAGTCTGTGTCTCATAAAAGAGTGAGAGATGGCGCCATGGTTCGGAGCCCTTGCTGCTCTGGCACAGGCCCTCACTTCCATCCCCAGCACCCACGTGGCTCAAGGCCCTCTTCGTCTCCAGTTCCAGGACATCCAGTGCCCTCTGCTGGCCCTCGTGGCATCAAGCCCACACATGGTGTGCAGACATGCATGCAGGCAAAACACCAATGAACATAAAAATCATGAAAACTTGGAGCTTTTTAGGGCAATCGGTACTCCTGAAGCTTTATGGAGTACAGTTGCATTTCTAAAATGTGTATGTATAGCCAAGGCTATACAGCTATGCAGAAAAACCCTGCCTCAAAAAAGAAAAGAAAAAAAAAGGTTTGCCGTGAGATCAAGTCTAGCCTGACTATAAAAGTGCCAAGGTAGGGAGGGATACATGGCAAAACCCTAACTCATTTAGAATTAATATTGTTGGAGCTGTTGTTTCCAGTGAGGACGTGTTTCAATCCATGCCAAGCCTCTCAAACAGGTGAAATCCAAGACCCTCTCCAGAGCTTCCCAAACGGGGAGAATGAGGGTGAAGGACCTCACCTGACTGAACTGGGAGCCTCCACACATTCCCGCTGTGTCCGTCCGTGTGTCCCGTCCCGCGCCCCCCCCCCCCCCCCCCGTCTTCAGCAGTACAAGGGCAGAGAAGGGGATTTAGGAACAAAAGGCTAAAACAGCCAATGAGCCGCCGGGATGAGTTTCCCTAACACTCAGCTGGAACTCCTCAGGGCCAGGCTCCGGAGTCCCTGACCTGTGAAATCCAACGTTTGTCAGATAGGTGGCGCTGGCCACTGGCCTGGGAGGAATTAAAGGTGATAAGTGTCAACCAAACGCAGCATTTGAAGCTGCAGTAAGACTAAGCACCTCCCATGTATTAAGGCTGAGCAAGGCGACCCAGTAATGAGGCCTAGGGTCCCAAAAGCCAGCAAAAGAGTTGGAGGCTGCCCTGTTCCTGCTGTTAGGAGTCCCACAAAAGGACCGAGCGACCGAGCTACACCACTGTGACACATATCCAGAGTACCTAGGTTGCTAAACAGAAACGTAGGGGGAGTGGGCTGGGGATGGGAACAGAAGCGGGTGGAAAGAGAAAAGGCAGGGGAATGCAGCCAGGTATAACATTTTTAAAAATATGTCCAAAAAAAAAAAAAAAGGTACTGGTGAGAGGTTTAGCTGTCTGGAAGCAATGAAATCGAAGATGTGGGCGTTTGTGCTGGATACAGAGACCCCCCACTGCATTTCAGTGTGAGCGAGAGGGTCAAACTTGTGCTTGTAGAGCAACTGGTTGCCATCAGCCTGGACTTGAGACATCAAGACTTCCTGGAGGGCCCACTTCGAGGCAGGCAGCTCTCAGAGGGAAAAGAGCAACCCTGCCTGCACCCTGTGGCCTAGGGTAAGCTGAGGAATTGAGCTTTGCTGTACTGGAAGCTTGGGTTCCAGGGCAGAGGGGCTGAGGCTGGGACAGAAGCAGGTAGAGACCAGCAGAGCTATAAACTGGAGATGATCAAGAGATAACAGATACACCAGCGTGCAGGTCCTCCTAACAGGCCCATGAAGTCAGCACTGTTACTATCTGTTTTACTCACAACTCTGTCTCCAGAATCCTCTCCAGAGTCCTCCCCATGAATCCCCGAGTCAATGGGAAGAGGGATTTGAGCGAGATCCCCGGGCCAAAACCACCTATAGTTTGTCCTTGGAGCTACCAGTATGTGCTGCCACCTAGTGGCAGCCCTCAGCCCCCGCGGAGTCCGCGGGCGGGGCGGGGCCTCCGGCGGGCGGGGCGGGGCGCGCAGGCTTCTCGCTGGCCACCTCTGTCTGGGTCCTACCGGCGTCTCCCGCCACCTCCGGGAAGATGGCGGCGCCGTGGTGGCGTGCCGCGTTGTTCGCGAGTGGCAGATGCCGGGGCTTCAGCACCTCGGGTGAGTGGGGTGGGGTTAGGGAGCTCTCGGGCTCCTGCAGCTCCAGCCCTGTGCTTCCGCCGGGGCCCGGAGCCAGCGTGACCCCCGGTCTCTGCCCGCAGCTGCCCGCAGCCGCCGGACACCCCCTCTCGGGCCTATGCCCAACGAGGACATCGACGTGAGCAACCTGGAGAGGCTGGAGAAGTACCGCAGCTTCGATCGGTACCGCCGCCGGGCGGAGCAGGAGGCGCGGGCCCCGCACTGGTGGCGGACCTACCGCGAGCACTTCGTGGAGGAGACAGGTGCGGGCCCCGCGGGGAGCTGGGGACGGCGCCACCGAGCCCGCCGGGAGGGCTGGGGACCCGCTCGGGTGTCTGCCCCCAGCCTCGGCCCCCGTGTGCTCCGGGACGACGGAGGCCGCTGGTTCCCACAGCTTTTGCCCACCCCCTTGGAAAGCTCCTTCCCCCAACTATTTAGAGTTCCTTCTAACTCAGCGACTGAAATCCTTTCCTGACGACTCCGCCCCTCGCCGCCTTGGAACACCCCTCTGTGTGTGTCCCTGGAATGCTCTGCCACACGGGGTCGGTCTTCAGCCCCCGCAGAGAGGCGGCACCTTGAGCACAGAAGCTTGCCTGTCTGGCCCATCCTTGGGATGCTTGCACCCATACAGTGCATGGCACTAAGTGGGTAGTAATTTGCTAAGTGAAATTAAGACCTGGGAAAAGTGACTTAGGGACCCAACCTTAAAGAATTTATTTAGTGTGTATTACTTTTATATATTTTGAGACAGGGTCTTGAAGTATAGCATGGCCTGGAACAAACTGTAATCTAGGCTGACCTCAAATTTGCAGTAATCTGCCTTAAGAGAACTTGACTTGTTGGCATTCACCAGTACATGACTAACATCCTTTAAGGAAAGTTCGTCCAGGTGGTGGTGGCCCACGCCTTTAGTCCCAGCACTCAGGAAACAGACACAGGGGAATCTCTGTGAGTTCGAGGCCAGCCTGGTCTACAGAGCAAGTTCCAGGACAGCCAGGGCTACACAGAGAAATCCTGTTTTGAAACCCCCCCGCAAAAGTTTATTTTTATTGTCTATATGTGTGTGCATAGGTCTGCAGGGGTCCACAGAGGCCAGAAAAGGGCACCATCCCTTGGAGTTAGTCACAGGACTTTGTGAGCTGCCCTGTACCTCTGCTGGGATCCCCCCCCCCATAGTCCTCAGGATAAGCAGCTAGCTCTCTGCACTGCCCACCACCTCTCTTTGGCTTAAAGCGTGTACTGCCTAGTTTTGTGTGTCAGCTTGACACAAGCTAGAGTCATCAGAGAGGAAGGAGCCTCAACTGAGGTGATGCCTCCATGAGGTCCAGCTGTGAGGCATTTTCTCATTAGGGATCAGTGGGGGGGGGGGTCAGCCCACGGTACCAGGTGCCATCTGTGGGCTGCTGGTCCTGGGTGCTATAAGAAAGCAGGCTGAGCAAGTCAGTAAGCAGCTCCCATCCATGGTCTCTGCATCAGCTCCTGCTGCTAGATTCCTGCCCAGTTTGAGTCCCTGTCCTGACTTCCTTTAGTGAAGAACAGTAACACTGAAGTGTAAGCCAAATGAACCCTTTCCTCCTGACTGCTTTTTGGTCATGGTGTTAGATTAAAGCAATAGAAACCCTAAGACGACATGCATTGTAAGGCCTTTGAAGAGCTGTGGGTTTGTTTGGGGTGGGAGGGAGAGGTTTGTTTGGTTTTGGTTTTTTTTTTTTTTTTTAAGTTTTTCCAGACAGGGTTTCTCTGTGGTTTTGGAGCCTGTCCTGGAACTAGCTCTTAGACCAGGCTGGTCTCGACTCATAGAGATCCTTCTGCCTCTGCCTCCCGAGTGCTGGGACTAAAGGCATGCTGCACCAACGCCCGGCTTGTTTTTCATTTGAGTTAGGGTTTCTCTGGGTAGCCCCCTGGCTGTCCTGGACTCTGTAGACCAGGCTGGCCTTGAACTCATATCTGCCTGCCTCTGCTTCCGAGTGCTGGGGTTAGTAGTATGTGCCACTGTTACCTGGCTATCTTTGAATCACTTTAAAGATGACTTCAATAACCAGTCAGGAGCCCATCTGCCTCAGTTTCCCTAAACAAGATATGGTGAGCTAATAGTGTAGGGATCAGGAGCCATGGAGTTACCTTCTGTCTGATTTACTTACTGCCGAGCCTTGTTAGGTCTGGGAAGCAGACTGCGCAGGTCAGCTTTGTGGGTCTCAGGGATGGTTCTGTTGAAATCTGGAGTAGCAGAGCAAGGGACTGGATAAAGATAAGCTGCTTAACAGAGAGACTCGATTGTGGGCCAAGGAGACAGACCAGCCAGTAAAGTGTCTGCTGCCTGCACCTTCCTGCCCTCAATGCACGAGACGCTGTGTTAGGACCTCCCCCACCCACATGGAAGCCAGGTACAGGGACGGATGCCCTAACAGGCAGGTCACTGAGTCCACTGGCCAGCCAGTCTAGCCAGTCATCAAGCTCCAGGTCCAGTGAAAGACTCTCAAAAACAAACAAAATAATGCTCGTGGGAGGCTGAAACAGGCAGATCTCTGAGTTCAAGGCCAGCCTGGGCAGTGGAGCAAGACACTAAGTCAACCTGCTTCCACATGAATCAACTGACACGCGGGCACACACTGGAATCTAAAGTAAAGATGTCGTTCTGATCGGATTATCCTAACACCACATAACCTATCTTCTTTCTCTAGATCCTAAAGACAAAATTGACATTGGATTGCCCCCATCGAGGGTCATTCGGACCCAACAGCTACAGGAGCGGAAACAGTTTATCCGGGAGCTTCGAGCCAACATGGAAGAAGAGCGGGCAGCCCGACTTCGCACTGGTGAGTCTCCCAGAAGAGGGGGAGGGGCCCAGGTGCGCTCCCCCCCCCCCGCTGTCTGCAAACCGTGCTGTCCCTCCCCAGCCAGCATCCCACTGGACGCAGTGCGGGCAGAGTGGGAAAGGACCAGTGGTCCCTACCACAAGCAGCGTCTCGCCGAGTATTATGGCCTCTACCAAGACCTGTTCCACGGTGCCACTTTTGTGCCCAGGGTCCCCCTTCACGTGGCCTACGCTGTGGGAGAAGAGGACCTGGTCCCAGTGTATCATGGGAATGAAGTGACTCCAACTGAGGTAATGCTCGCTATGCACTTCTTCATGCTGTGTATGCACACGTGGGCACGCTTCATGCTGTGTATGCACACGTGGGCACGCTTCATGCTGTGTATGCACACGTGGGCACGCTTCATGCTGTGTATGCACACGTGGGCACACACATTGTGGCATCACAGCGTCTAGGTTTCAAGTTTTGTTACTCTTTCTGATTCCCTGGAAATCAGCATCATGAAGTCACAGAACTACGACAGAAGCGCCATCTGTGCCCGCTCTGTGCAGCCACTACCCTTGCAGTGGCCTCCATGCCTCTTGTCACGTGGTCCTTATAGTTCAGATCTCAGGATGAACACCGGGCAGTCTATAAACGTCTCTTTCCCTGTCGGTGTCTGAGGAGCTGCCGGGGCCTGGTTTGAGGCAGTGAGGGTGAGGGCACTCGCTTCTCCAGGGCCCTGCCAGCTCCAGCCCTCTACAGAGAAACTCTGGCATGGTGAGGGTGAGTGCTCCCCTGATCTCTACCTGCTAGGCTTCCCAGGCCCCAGAGGTGACCTATGAGGCAGACCAGGACTCCTTGTGGACACTACTACTTACCAACTTGGGTAGGTGTCAGGGGCCACCTGGCCTCCAACCTCCCTCCCCTGTGCCAAGAATCCAGGGATCTGGGTGGGGTGGCACACTCCAGCCCTGGCTGCTTTAAAAGGAGGATCTGTTTCCTTGCAGATGGACACCTGCTGGAGCCAGATGCCGAGTATGTTCATTGGCTGCTGTGAGTGTCTGGGTTGGAAGTCCTGGAAGTGTTGGGCCCTGAGATTTGAGTCTGTACGTGGATACAAGTACCGGGGAGAGTGGCAGGAGCCGGTGTGGTGACATGCCTTTAATCCGAGCACCCTGGAGGCATAGATAAGCAGATCTCACGAGACCCTGCCTCAAAATCAAACAAGAGCGCTGTAGCCTGGTCAATCCTTGCAAGCCTCTTCATTGCTCCCAGCTCTTTCTGTTCTGTGAAGTTGGTGACATCACCACGTGCCACCTACCCAGGGGATGCTGTGACAGTCAGTGGAGAAAAGGACCAGAAGCAGTTCATGGTGGTGGCAGCTCTTCAGACACTCAGCTGGGCAGGGGGTGCAGTGGCTACCACAGCATCAGGCTGGGAAACTGCCTGGCACGGCCCTGGCCCATGGAGAGAAAAGTGGCCCAAAATGATGGGCAACACCACAGTCCCCACTCCCTGAGTGAAGCAGCTGCTTTGTTTTGTCTCTGCTGAGGTCCTTGTTTCTGTTTGTTTTTTGCAGAGGACGCCAAGCCTAATAGTTTGGTTTTTTGGAGACAGGGTTTCTTTTTTTTTTTTTTTTTTTTTTTTTTTTTTTTTAATTTTATTTTATGTGCATTGATGTTTTGCCATGGGTGTTGGGTCTCCTGGATCTGGAGTTACAGACAGTTGTGAGCTGCCATGTGGGTGCTAGGAATTGAACTCCAGTCTTCTGGAAGAGCAGTCAGCATTCTTAACCACTGAGCTGTCTCTCCAGCCCTGGAGACAGGGTTTCTCTGTGGCTTTGGAGCCTGTCCTGAAACTCGCTCTTGTAGACCAGGCTGGCCTCAAATGCACAGAGATCCGCCTGCCTCTGCCTCCCAAGTGCTGGAACTAAAGGCATGTGTCAACACATGCATGCCTGATGCCTTTCACTTTGGATTCACTGGGAGTACAGATGGTTGTGAGCTTCCATGTGGTGCTGGAGATCGAACCTGGGTTTTCTGGCAGAGCAGTCAGTTCTATGAGAACTAGCCACTGAGCCATCTCTCCAGCCCCTCTGCTTTCTGAACCTAATGTTTGCAGCGTGTCCCTGAGGTCCTGGCAGTCAGTGTGCTACAAACTATTGAGGGTCTGGCCCCTGGAGTGATGATCTCTCTGGGGTTTAGTACTGCTGTCTCACTGGCCTGTCAGTTAATGGATACTTTTCCTCCTACCAGGACCAACATCCCAAGCAACAGGGTTACTGAAGGCCAGGAGACATGTCCCTACCTCCCCCCCTTCCCTGCTCGAGGCTCTGGCTTCCACCGCTTTGCCTTCTTGCTCTTCAAGCAGGACAAGCCAATCGACTTCTCTGAGGACACCCGTCCCTCACCCTGGTAATATGCGCTCCTACTTGGATCCTGAGCCCTAGCCAGCTCTCTGGGATGGTGGCTCTTGTGTCTTCCTCCTCTTGGCATGGTCCTTGAGATTGGCAGAAGCTTGTTATGTGGGGTGGATTCCAGGGCTTCCCAGGGCTGCCTGTAGTGCTCCCTCCCACTCTCTGATGCTGACCATCTTGTCACAGCTACCAGCTGGCCCATCGGACCTTCCGCACTTTTGATTTCTACAAGAAACACCAGGAAGCCATGACTCCAGCTGGCCTAGCCTTCTTCCAGTGCCGCTGGGATGACTCAGTTACCCACACCTTCCATAAGCTTTTAGGTAAGGAAATTCATTTTAGGGCTTGGTGGTCTGGCAGGCCTGAGGGCAAAAACCTCTCCTGCCTTGCCTTTGCAAGCCAAGGTGGGCAGTTCCTGGCCGGAGTCCACCCCTGTCCCTTTCCTTTTCTTGTAGACATGCGAGAACCTGTGTTTGAATTTGTGCGGCCACCCCCTTACCACCCCAAACAGAAGCGCTTCCCTCACCAGCAGCCCCTACGCTATCTGGACCGATACAGGGATAGTCATGAGCCCACTTATGGCATCTACTGAGAGGCACAAGTCATTCAGCTCAGAGGGTGACCTGGCAGCTGCACGAAGGGCGTGTCTCAGGAGACCCAAGCATCTGGAGCAGGGGCTTGCTGGAAGGTTCTTCCATTGTGTGAATAAGGTCATTTTCCCTCATGCCAACACACACACACCTATGGACACAGAGGAGTGTGCCCTGCAGCCCCTGAGCTGGAGCTGCACACGAGAAATGAAACTTTGTTTGCCCTGTAAATTGTAAATGGATGCTTCCTGTCCTGACCTGATGGCCCAGGCCCAAATAAACACACAGAGGCTTATTATTACTTATAAATGCTGGGTCAATAGCTCAGGCTTACTACTAACTAGCTCTTGCATTTTACATAACCCATATTCCTTATTCATGCTCTGCCACGTGGCAGTACCTTTATTAACATGGCACGTTCTTCCCCTGCATCTGCTGGCAAATCCTCCAACTCCACCCTGCCTCATCCATCATTCTCAGCCTGGCTCCTCCCTCCTAACTGTATCCTGGTCAGCTTGTTTATTAAAGCCACCACAGTGCCCCGTTTTCACACAGTGTAAAGGAATGTTCCACAGCCTCAGTACCAGACCATTCCGATGGAGGCACTCCTGCCCTGGGCTGGGGATTCACCATCAGACGCAACAACAGCTTGCTTGGGACCTTAGCATAATTTCAGCCCCAGCCAAGGCCTGGAAGCCCACTGTGTGGCTAGATGTGTTTCCAGCGCTGAAGGAGGAAGCCTTGCAGCAACTCAGATCTATGTACTTGGTTAGAAGGACATTAGCTTTGTCTGATTCACATTGCCCGGGAGGCTGCAGAGGGAATGATACTCACCCATTGCATTGGTGCAGAAACAGCTGGGGCACAGGAACTCACACAGCCAAAGGCTGGGGGTGGCTTAGAGGAGCTCTTAAAGAGGATAGGTGTTTTGTTCAGGTAGTTGGGGTAAGGCTTCACAGGCCACGAGGGGCTGCAGCAGTGATTTATTATCAAGTAAATAAAGGGTCTCGGCTGGGTGTGATGACACACCTTCGGATGACAGGGCCAGGCGGATCTCCACCTGGTTTACACAGTCCTTGACAGCCAGGGCTACACAGAGAGACCCCAAGTGACAAAATCAGGACACAGGTTCTCTGTGAAAAAAGGTTAAATGGACTTTAGTGATCAGAAACTTCCACATCGTTGTTTTAGACGAACCAAAACTACACATTTTCCCAAGAGAAGATATGGCAGTGCCTAAAATCCTGCTCCAGGAAAAAAACCGGGGTCCTGGTCAGGATTGTTTACCAAGTGTTACCAAGCCCCTTACTGGACGATCCTCACTCGCTGTTTCATTTACTGGCTAGGAAAACCCCAGAAATGACATCTCAGAGATGGCCCTGGGCTCAAGCTTCAGTCCCTTGAAGGTAAGGCCACACCCTCAGGAGGAGCTGAGAGCATACAGGAGCGAAGGGACGAGGTGCCGGGTGGAACCCCTGGGTGCTGCGCTCACCCTCCCAGCGCCACGGCGCGTCAGAAGGCGGGCAAGGGTGACTTGGATCCCTGCCAAGGAAGGAAGGCTCTGGAACACGGGAGGGCAGCGCCTGTGATGTTGGGGACACTGTCGTGTCTTCCTGGGCTGTCCTTCGCCCTTCCGCTGCCGTCGCTGTAGCTTCGGTCCCTTTAAGAGGTCCGCGCCCTTGGGCCTCGCTTCCGCCATGGCGGCTCAGCTGCTGGGGGAAGATCTGGTGACTTGCTCCATCTGCCTGTGCCCCTACCTGGACCCCGTGACGCTGCCTTGCGGGCACAGCTTCTGCGGGACCTGCATCCAGGACTCGTGGCGCTGCTGCGAGAAGACATGCCCCGAGTGTCGCCAGCCCTTCCCCGAGGGTGCCAAGCTGTGCCGCAATGTGACGCTGAGCACCTTGCTGCAGGCGCTGCCGCGCGCGCTGCAGGCGCAGCCCCCAGCCACCCTGCGCGCGGAGCCCAGCGCCAGCCACAGCGCAAGCTGTCCGCGCCACGGGAGGCCGCTCGAGTTCTTCTGCCGCACCGAGGGCCTCTGCGTGTGCAGCGCTTGCACAGTGCACGAGTGTCGCCACCACGAGCGGGCGCTGCTGGACGTGGAGCGCCGCGGGCGTGAGGTGCGGGACCGGGCCTTTCAGAAGGCGGGGATCGTTCTCAGGCGGAGACCAGAGGAGGGGGTGCTGCCACAGGAGCCCATATGAACCCAGAGGGCCTGTGCACCCGAATGTGACACCCACCCCTCCCCATGCCCTCCGAATGAAGTAGAGCCAGAGCGTTAGTTAGGCCAGGGCTGGCAGCCCCATTTGCTGCCCTGACCCGCATTCAATAAGTGTGCACGCAGTCGCACAGTATGAAAGGAGGGTGGAGGATAACAAAATTAGTCAGCCATCTGCGCTTTCTGCCCCTCGGAGACCTAGGATCTACTCAAGGGTCAGACAGTGTTCCAGCAAAACTGGAATGTTTCCTTCTATAGAGACAGCAGGACTACCCTGCTTAAGAGGGGGAAGAGGTGGTCTTTAGGCGACTCCTCCGGGGAGAGGAAGTGCCAGCCAGATAAAAAAAAGAACGTGGGGATGAGCACCAAGGAGCAGAGAGGCTAGCCCCTGCACAGTGGTGACGGGCGGGAGGCGGGTCCCTGAGGATCTCCACACAGGCTTCCCAGGCCATGGGGGACCAGACCATGAAGGGCACGGACAAGGCAGTGATGTCATCCGATTCCAGGGGATTATAGATGAGATCTGAGGGAGGGAAGTCACAGCTGGAAAGCAAAAGCAGTGAGTGGGAGCCCAGTGCCCCGCGGAGATGGGGGCAAAGTAGGGGCAGCTAGGGGGAGGGGTTTCTGTGGGTGGCTGGGGTGCTGCGTGCTGGCCATGGGTGGAGAGCAGCTTGGTGTGGGATAGGTAGGGTGTGTGGGTGCAGGGGGACACACTGGGGGGTGGAGGGGTGACAGGCACCTGTTGAGAGCTGGGAGGAGATTCAGGCAGTAGGGAGAAAGTAGGAAGTCATTACTGGTCCCTGGAAGGAGTAGAAACTTGCTGGGCAGGGGATGCCCTACCTGCGATTGTGCCCTGGTATGGAGACAGTGGCCAGAACAGGGGTCACCGGAGGGAGGGCGGGGTCTCGAGGTTCATGCTGCTGAGAGGCTTGGGTAGAGGGCATAAGTGACTGTGAAACTGGCCTATGATGGTGGCCTGTCTCTTGCCAGGGTCATCTCTGCCAGGGGTCTGAGGCTGAACTTACCAGGGACAGATGCAAGATGATGGCACGCACGGACAGCACGGAGGGAGAAGGGCGGAGGCTGAGAAGCCTCAGGGATAGGGAGGATAGGGAAGGAGGGCAGGGATGCTGGCGGAGGGGGGGGGAGCTCGCACAGTGAGAGATGCAAACTGGTAGGCGAGGGTAAATGCTTATTTTGGAGCTGGTGACAGGGCCAAGGAGCAAGTGGCCTTGGAAAGAAAGAAAGGGACTTTCAGAGGGTTGCAGGGTGAGCCCTGGAACTCTTGAAGCCCCCCCCCCCGAGAGTAAGGATGGGACACGGTTGCTCATGACAAGTGTGGGAGACCAAGCTGGGCCTTAAAGTTTGCAGGGAAGTTAGAAGCCGGCAGCAAACAGCCTGCTTCAGCCAGATGGCTCATGCTCCAGGCGGAAGGAGTTTTGCTTGAGAGAGGATGTGAGGCACCGGGAGCTCAAGGGCCAGGTAGCCCAGCACACAGTGGCAAGAGACCCTGTCTTAAGGCAAGGACTGAGACAGACCCCCAAGGCCGCCCTCTGACCTTCACCCATCAGCTTTGACATTGATGCATCAGTCTACACTTATGTAAACTTTACATAAACGTCTTTATTTGGAAGATTTAAAAAGATAAATAAATTGGCATGGTGGTGGCGCGTGCCTTTCATTCCAACCTCCTCGAGGCAGAAGTAGGCAGATCTCTGCGAATCGAAGATCGGCTTGTTCTCCATAGCAAAGTTCAGGCCAGCCTGGGCTATGAGTGAGGCTCTGTCTCAAAGGAACAATGACAAGGTGTTGGAAGGGTCAAAGGACGTAACGAGACTCTTGGCCAGGCCTAAGCATCAGCTCTGAGCACCAACCTGGTGTTCTCAGCTCCAGTGACAGCACACTTTGGTCCCCAAGGGAAACAAACAGCGCTCAACCAAATAGTAGGGGTCCTGGCTTCCCTTTGGGCTCTTATGCACTGAACTAGTCACTGCTCAGACAACTCTAGTCATCTATTTCTGCTCCAGACTCCATAAGCCCGACTTACCGCTCTCATTTGTTGCTGGGGGGGTGGGGTATGGACCAGAGAAGGTGGGAGGGGGGATCTCTGCTCAGGCCACTCAACCACCAGAGAAGGTGGGACTGGAAATCCATCCCGCGCCACGCCGAAGCTGTGGCCGTTGCCTGGTTCTGGCAGTCCACCATGAATGGCATTGAGCAGAGTGCCCAGTATCCATGCGGGTGGTGGTGAACCTTACAGCCAACCCTAGCCTTCTTTTGTTGCTTGCCCTTTGGATGGGTGCCGCAGGACCAGCTGAAAGCTAGAGTGGTGGTTACCCGGCAACAAGTCTCCGAGGCAGAGAGCCAGCTTCAGGAGCTGCAGCTGCAAAAAAACCAGATCGAGGTGCTTCTCCACGTCCGTCCGTCCGTCCGCACGCTGGGCCCTTACCATCTGCTTCCTGAGCTGCCTTGAAAATGCCCCCAGGGGTAGGGAATGGGAAGATAAGCTGGAAGCCAGGCCCCAGCAGGGAAGAGGTTCCAAGGGCTCTGACTGACTCCCCATGCCCCACCCTCCTAGCCAGTGAGTGACTGAGAACCTGGCCTGCTTTGCCATAGTGCTGAGACTGGGCACCCTGAGGTTCCCTCCTGTGCCTACAGAGTTCAGCCTGCACCCTGGCCTCAGCGGTCACCAGCAGATTCAGCAGCCTGTTTCAGGCACTGGAGAAGCAGAAGGCCTTGACACTGAGGAGTATAGAGGTAGGCAAGAAGCAGGCACTGGGCCAGGCCCTCAGTGAGACACAACGGCTCACCAGCCACCTAGAGGCCTTGTCTCAGTATGACCGCAGTGTCCAGGACCTCCTGGGGCAAGTGGACAACTGCATCTTCTTCCAGGTACCAGATCTCGGGGCAGGGGGTTGGGGCCTTGCTCCCCCATACTTATGTCCCACTCACTGACATTGTCCCTGGGGTTCAGGAATTACGGCACCTCTCTGAGCCTGTACAGACCCTTGGGCCACTGCCCGCTCTGCAGTGGGATGAAGAGGAACAATTGAACACCGTGAATGAATTGCTTAGTCCACTCTGTCGGCTCCTCCTCGAAGACAAGCCCTCCAGGGTGGCAGGCAAAGCTGCCCAGGCTGGCCCTGTGGGTAAGGCTGACTTCTCCTCACCCTCTGGGCTCTACCTCCCTCCCACTAGTGGGTAGAAGTGGGGAGTCAGGGATCATTCCTACCCACTCCCCTAATTCTGATTTGTTCTTTAGAGGCCTTGGGTCCCCCGCCAGCAGTCCCCAGCACAATGTGTCCACTGAGGAAGAAACTCTGGCAGAGTAAGGAGACCCAGTGCTTGTGTGCGTGTGCGTGCGTGTGCGTGTGTGCGCGCGTGTGCGTGCGTGCGTGTGCGTGCGTGTGCGTGTGCGTGCGTGCGTGTGCGTGCGTGCGTGCGTGCGTGTGTGCGTGCGTGTGTGCGCGTGTGCGTGCGTGTGCGTGTGTGCGTGTGTGCGCGTGCGTGTGTGCGTGCGTGTGTGCGTGTGCGTGCGCGTGTGTGTGCGCGTGTGCGTGCGTGTGTGTGCGCGTGTGCGTGCGTGTGTGTGTGTGTCCTCATTTGTGTGCATGTGAGAGCACATGTACGCTTGCATGTGCCTGTGTATATATGGTGTGAAGGCCCTGGTCTGACTTTCCTGTCCGCGGACCTTCCTCCACCAGGCCCCACCTCTGCTCACCTGTTGCAGGCTGTAACCCTCGTCCACATCCACTCTGAGGCGGCTGCGGCCAGCATAGTGTTAAAGGGGAGATTCTGACCACATGGACCTGGGGTCCATCGCGGTTCTTCCGCTTAGTACTGTGCCATCTCAACTCCCTGAGCCTCCGTTTCCCCCTTGTAAAGTGGGAAGATGTAGAAGGTCCAGCTCAGAGGTAGCCAGGAGCGCTGCAGCGGGTGGTGCTCTGCCCACAGCGCCTGGCGGGCGTTTGCTGCCCATCAATGGACCCACAGTAACTCCCTATGCGCTGGAAAAGAAAGATGACACCTTTGCCTACTTCCGATCTCTTTCGAACAGATTATCGCAATCTGACCTTTGACCCGGACACTGCAAACCAGTACTTGTCCTTGTCCCACGAGGACCAGCAGGTGACACACCGTTTCCAGGCCCAGAGAGCAGCCGGGCCAGGCAGCTTTGAGCTGTGGCAGGTGCAGTGCACCCAGAGTTTTCAGGCTGGACAGCACTACTGGGAGGTTCGGGCTTCTGATCACTCTGTGACGTTGGGCGTCACCTACCCAAAACTGTCACGCCGAAAGGTAGGGAACCACACGGACAACATCGGCCGTGGACCTTGCTCCTGGGGCCTCTGCATCCAGGAGGATAATATCCAGGCTTGGCACAATGGCAAGGTTGAGCGCCTGCATGGGGTACCTGGACGTCTCCTGGGCGTAGATTTGAACTTGGCCTCCGGCTGCCTCAACTTCTACAGCCTAGAGCCACAGACAGAGCGGCTGCACACCTTCTATGCCGTTTTCAGCCAGCCTCTCTTCCCCGTATTCTGGCTCCTTGAGGGAAGGACCCTCACTCTTTGCCATCAGCCTGAGGCCAAGCTCCCTCCAGGGCCCAGGGAAGAGGCCTCGGCACTCAGCTGAGGGAGGCGCAGGCAGGTGCCTCCATGCTGGTCTGCCCAAGAGTCGCTGAGCCTGTGACTTGGAGACTTAAGGCCACCATTCTAAAGAAACAGCAGTTGGCCTCCCTGTTGGGTGAGAGGGAGGGGAGCCTCTAAATCAAAGTTTACTTTTTGCTCTCTTTGAAGGAGACAGGGGCTGGAAAGAAAGTAAATAGGAAGCCCCAGCCCCGGGCAAAAGCCAACTTCATGGCATGGCCTAGACACCTGCCTGCCTTAGTGACTGATCTACTGCCGTGAAGAGACACCATGGCCAAGACAAGTTTTATAAAAGAAAGCGTTTAAAGCATTTAACTGGGGGCTTGGTTACAGTTTTAGAGGGTTAGCTCATGATCACCATGGCAGGGAGCAAGCAGGCATGGTGCTGAGCAGTGTCTGAGAGCCTTACATCCTGATCCACAGGCAGTGGGCAGAGAGAGAAAGAGAGAGAGAGAGAGAGAGAGAGAGAGAAAGAGAGAGAGAGAGAGAGCCTGGCATGGGCTTTGAAACCTCAAAATTCATCCCAAGTGACACACTCCTTCCACAAGACCATGCCTCCTACTCTTTCCCAAACAGGTCCACCAGCTGGGGACCCAGGGCAGGTTGTGGAGAGCAGATGTGGTGATGGGTGTGGCTGCTTCAGATGTGAGCATCTCGAAAAAACAAAAAACAGAAACAGAGTCCTTCCTCTCTTACTGACAGCATCCCCAGCCTGGTATACTTGTGTTTGTTTGTTTGTTTTCTGTAACAGGATTTCTCTGTGTAGCCCTGGCTGTCCTGAAACTCACTCTGTAGACCAGGCTGGCCTTGAACTAACAGAGATCCTTCTGCCTCTACCTCCCGAGTGCTGAGATTAAAGGTGTGCGCCACCACCGCCCGGCCTGGTATAATGTCTTCACCTGAGATGTGCTGTGCTCTGATCTTGGTTTATAAGATGCCCACTTTCGCAACTTCCTTTCTCTTGTAATTCCTTAAGCATCTGTCTGTTTTTTATATGCTCATGGGTGAACACTGGACAATAAAAGATTCTAGAAATTCTCTCTCTTTATTTAGAGTGCATCTGGGAGTGGGGTGGCTGGTGTGTGCCAGGAAAGTGTGGGGGTCAGAAAATAAAGTTCAACATAGGATTCTCTCCTTCGACCATGTGGCTCTGGGAATGTCAGGTTGGTGGCACGTTCACTTGCTGAGTCATCCCAGCAGCCCACAATTACTGTTTGCTGTCATTGCTGTTTGAGACAGGGTATCACTATGTAACCTTACCTGGCTTAGAACCCACTATGTAGACCAGGCTAGCCTCGAACTCACAGAGATCTGCCTGCCTCTGCCTTCTGAGTGCAGGGATTAAAGTCCTGAACCACCATCACAGACCCTAGAACAGTTTAAAAAGGTTAATATATACAATAATATATACATTAGGAAATATATTAATGTTTTATATAATTTATATAAATACAGGGCTTCTCTGTATTGCTTTGGAGCCTGTCCTGGAACTCGCTCTGTAAGCCAGGCTGGCCTCAAACTCACAGAGATCCACCTGCCTCTGCCTCCCGAGTGCTGGGACTAAAGGTGTCTGCCATCACTGCCTGGTTAAACTTTTTTTTTTTTTTTTTAATCTTTATGTATGTGTTTATTTTGCCCGAGGCCAGAAGAGGGCATCTGATCTCCTGGGACTGGAGTTACAGATGATTGTGAACCTCTATGTGGGTGCTGGAAACCAAACCCGGGTCCTCTGCAAGAGCAGAAAGTGCTCCTAACCATTGAACCATCTCTCCAGCCCTGAGTCAGCCTTGCTATGTAACCTAGCTGGCCAGAACTCCCTATGAAGCCCAGTGTGGCTTCAAATTCACTGTAGTCCAGGCTTCCTCCTCCTGCCTCTGCGTTCCAAGTACTGCAGTCATAGGCATGTCCTACCCACTCTGTGTTTCTGTTTGACTTTTTTTGAGGGGTGAGGGGTTAAGACTGGTTCTTCCTCTTTAGCCCAGACTGGTTTGGAACTTGCAGTGTCCTTAGGCTGTCCCTTGCCAGGTGGCAATCCTCTTGCTTAACCCCCCACGGGCCGGACCGGACCGTGAGCCACCACACCTGCCGGGTTTGTCTTTGCTGTTGTTTCTGAAGCTGCAGCCACATTGCTATAAGGGTTAAGCCCTTGCTCGTCCTCCCCTGCAAGGCTGGCTGTGAGGCCTGGAACCTACCAGGTTTCTGTCTGCCTCCTTTGTGGATAGAGTCCTTGGAAGGGTGGTATTGGAGGCAGGCATGAACACAATCAGAACTAACTTTGTGCCATTAATGACAAATCATCTTGGAAAACTTCAGACACCAGAAAACAATGTCTATGGAAATAAAGTATCCAGATACCTGTGGTCAGACTTTCTTTGGAGTGCCAGCTCCTGAATAATGACACCAAGACTTATGAACACTTGGCCTTATCTTGCACTTGTCCCCAACTATCTCTTAAAACTTAAATTAACCTGTTTACATTAATCTACGTTCTGCCACATAGCTCGTTTCCTCTCCTCCATACTGTACATCTGACTTCTGTGTCTGGCTGGCGAGTTCCCTGAGCCTCAGATTCTTATTCTTCCCAGGGTCCCTATCTCTGCCCAGAAGCTCTTTATTAAACCAAGCAAAAGGTGCCTTAGGCGGGCAAAGACAGAGACACATAAAATATGCCAATCCTGTAATTGATTTTTTTTTTTCCTCTTTGCTCTTTGGAAGCCCAACACCAGCTCCCAAATAAATATACAGAGACTTATTCTCTGTGTGACTGCCTGGCCTTAGCTTGGCTTGTTTCTAACTTAAATTATCCTATTTTTCTTTCTTTCTTTCTTTTTTTTTTTTTTCTTTTGATGGGAGATGTTTCTCATACTGGTTAATAATAAAGCACTGTTGGCCAATAGGAAAGGAAGATAGGCGGGACTAGGAGACAAGGAGGAAAGAGGAAGGAGTAAGGAGGAGTCAAGATGGAGAGTCTGGAGAGAGCTGGACGCCAGCCGGCTCTCCGAGGGAAGAGGAGACCACGTGGAAATACATAGATTAGCAGAAATGGGTTAATACCTAAGACAGAGCTAGCCGATAAGAAACTAGTACCTGGCCAACAGCATTATATCAAATACAGAGGCTGGTGCGGCGGCGGGACAACACCAGCGGTGGGCAGAAAAACCTTACTCCTTACCTTTTTTTTCTTTTTCTTTTTTCCGGTTTTCCGAAATAATAGGGTTTCTCTCTAGCTTTGGAGGCTGTCCTAGAATTCGCTGGCCTTGAACTCACAGAGATCTGCCTGCCTCTGCCTCCCAAGTGCTGGGAGTAAAGGCGTGCGCCACCACCTCCCAGCTCCTATTTCTCTTTAACTATGTTTTGCCTCTAGGCTTTTTACCTTTCTTTATTCTATATTTTTCTTTCCTTCTTACTCTGTGGCTGGTTGGGTGGCTGTGAGGCTGGCTTCTGGAATCCTTCTCTTTGCCTTTTCTCACTCTTCAATCTCTTCCCCAGATTTCTCCTCCTATTTTTTCTGTGCCCGCCAGCCCCACCTATCCCTCTGCCTAGCCACTGACCCTTAAGCTCTTTATTAGACCAATCAGGTGTTTTTGGCAGGCAAAGTAGCACAGCTTTACAGAGTTAAATAAATGCAACACATCTTTGCATCATTAAAACAAATATTCCGCAGCATAAAAAAAATGTAACACATCTTAAACTAATATTCCTCAACACCTTTAATCCCAGAACTCAGGAAGCAGAGGTAAGCAGAGCTCTGGTGTTTGAGGCCAACCTGATGTACATAGCTAGTTTCAGGCCAGCCAAGTCTTGAAAGTAAGATGCTGTCTCAAAAACAAAACAAACAAAAAAAAATACAACAAAAGCTGTCACCATTCTGGAAGGCGCTAAGACCATCTATACACTCAGCTACTGGAAAGGCTAAGACAGGGGATTGCCTGAACCCATAGTTTCCAGACCAGCCTGGGTAACACAGTGAGATGCCATCTTTAAGTAAATATGACAGCCACAGCCTTGAACATCATAACTATGAATCTCCCACTGGGCTACATACCTACCAATTGTTATGGTGGGGGGTGGTGAGACAGGATCTCACCATGTGGCCTTAATTGATCTGGAACTTAATTTGTACACCAGGCTGGCATTGAACTCACAAGTCCTGTCTGCCCCTGCCTCCCAAATGCTGGGATTAAATGTGTTTACCATCACACCTAGATCACTTGCCACTTTCTTCCTTCCTTCCTTTCTTGTCGCGCCCAACCTCGACCAGCAAGGAAGATGCAACTCAGGGGAGATCTTCTTCTACCAGTTTAATCAGGATCCTTGAACAAGCTTCTTCTAACTCCGGGGAAATGCCCTCACAGGCTTAAATCCTCTTACACTGACCAACCCTAGTGAGCCACCTGGACCCTGCAGATAGGCTGCTCTTATACGGAAGCAAGCAAGCTGAACAGGCTTAGCCAAATAAGGACTTGTTTACAACAGAGCGCTCACCATCGGGAAGGTGGAAGGCGGAAGCCAGCGCCAGTGCCATCTTTAAGGCTAGGCACTTCGCAGCTCTCTACATTTTTTTTTTTTTTTTACATAGCCCAGGCTGACCTAGAACTAGCAACGTAGCCAGGGATGACTTGGACTTCTGTCGAAACCTGCACCTCCCATGTGCTTCGATTACAGGTGTGCCCTACCACGGCCAGCCCTCTCTATATAAACAAAACCCTCGGAGAAGAACTGAGCAGCTCCTGAGGGTTCAGTGCCATTTTCAATGAGCTCTGTTTTCGCTGACTTCTGGTGTGCCAATGATTTGCAATAGTCATTAAGTTGTCTGAGCAATCTCGGCGGGGCCTGGAGAGATGGTTCAGTGGTTAAGACACTGACCCCCCTCTTCCAGAGGATCTGGGTTCAATTCCCAGCACCCACATGGGAGCTCACAACTTCCTGTGTCTCCAGTCCCAAAGGGTCTGATGCCTTCTACAGAGCGAGTTCCAGGACAACCAGAGCCACACAGAGAAGCCCTGTCTTGAAAGAAAGAAACAAACAAAAAGTTAACTTACAAAAGCCTCATTTACAAATACATCAAAGCTCAAGAACTTTTATTTCTTTTTTTATTTTCATGTGTGTGGTGTGAGGGCACACATGTGTGTGTATACCTGCATGTGGAAGCCCAAGGTTGTGAATCAACCTTCATCAGTCTTCCATCTTATTCACTGAGACAGGGCCTCTCAATCAAACCCAGAGCACACAGATAACACCTAGTGTGGCGTGGGGGGCGACCCGTCTCCGCCTCGCACACCCACGCAGCACTTGCTTGGGTTATATGGGTGAGAACTTTGGTCCTCGTGGTTATTACCGCAGCACTTTAGCCACCGAGCCAGCTCTCCAGCACCTAAAACCTGGAGGAGGAGGAGAAGGAGGAGGAAAAGAAATTTTCCGTGTGTGGGTGCTTTGCCTGCTTGTATGTCTACTTACCATGTTTGTGCAATGCCCGAGGGAGCCAGAAGAGGGCGTCTAGAGCTGTGGTTATAGATGGATGTGAGCAACCTTGTGGGTGCCAGGAGTAAAACCTGGGGTCCTCTGGAAGAGCAGCTAGTGCTCTTAGCTGCTGAACCATCTCCCCGGGCCCTAAAACTTTTAAAATATGTTTAATTATGTCTACCTTGAGCCAGGAAGATGCTTCAGTGGGTAAGTTCTTGCTGTGCAAATCTGACTCGATCCTTGGGATCCATGGTAGAAACACACACGTGTAAAAATTTAAAATTAAAACATTCCGGTATTGGGAGCTGGAGAGATGGCTCAGAGGTTAAGAGCACTGGTTACTCTTCCAAAGGTCCTGAGTTCAATTCCCAGCAGCCACATGGTGGCTCACAGCCATCTGTAATCGGGTCTGGTGCCCTCTTCTGGTGTTGAAGCAGACATGTAAGCAGAGCATTGTAAACACAATAACTAAATCTTTAAAAAAAAAAAAAAAAAAAAAAAAAAAACATTCCGGTATTAACCAATCACATCTCCACGCTGGCCTTCTATGGGAGACCCAAGCTTGT